TTGATAAAAATTGAAGAGTTAAAAAATGTATAGAGATTCTTCTCACATCAACCAACCACAACAACTTCATTGAGAAAAAAAACTCTGGAATAATTGATTACATTCTTTCAATCCTTCTCTCTTTCAATCGCTCATTCATTTATTTTTACATTTATTTATTTTTTTATTGAGGGAGAGAGAGAGAGAAAGCGAGAGAGAAGAAGAGAGAGAGAGAGAGAGAGAGAGAGAGAGAGAGAGAAAGTGAGACAAAGATTTAAATAAACTGACTTTTATGTAAATACAAAAAAGAATATTGACTGAAATGTTTATTTAAACCTAAAAATACCTCTTAAATTCTACCTACATACATACATACATACATACTAGCACACGCATACAAACAAACAAACACACACGTACACTCACATACGCACCCACACACACACACACACACACACACACACACACACACACACACACACACACACACACACACACACGATTTTAATCAGTTAATACAACAACAAAACCTACGTAAACACATTTAATTTGTTTATTTATTTTTTATGTTATGTTATGGTTGGTTAGGTGAGTGTGTTGAGATGATGAACAATGATAAAGTACAAAGATGATGATGACGATAATAATAATAATAATTATTATTATTATTACAATGATGGTGATGAGGATTTTATTTTCCCGTTCTAATTGTTATTTAATCGGAAAAATTTATTTTTTTAAATGGTTCAACAAATCCGCTTAAATATAATAACAACAATAATAATAAATTCTATTGATATTATGTAAATATAATTAGTGTGGCTATTTCTATTATTACTGTTGTTGTTGTTTCTGCTAAATAACATAGTATTTCGCAGATAACATTGACGCAGTGCTAAATACATATCTTACTTAGAATAGAAATAAGCCAGCCTCAATTAAAACTTTCCATCAATAAGTATTATAGTTTCATTTTATTTTTGTTCATTCATTCAATTCTTCGTTCGCTCGTTCGTTCGCTCGTTCGTTCGTTCGTTCTTTAGTTCAGTATGATTTATTTCTTTATTCATTCATGCGTTCATTTATTTATTCGATTGTTAATCCAATCGTTTGCTCGTTAATTCGTCAATTCATCAGTTCATTCCTTCATCCCTTCATTCATTCATTCATTCATTCATTCATTCATTCATTCATTCATTCATTCATTCATTCATTCATTCATTCATTCATTCATTCATTCATTCATTCATTCATTCATTCATTCATTCATTCATTCATTCATTCATTCATTCATTCATTCATTCATTCATTCATTCATTCATTCATTCATCATTCATTCATTCATTCATTCATTCGATCATACTAATATTAATATTTGTTAAACATAGGTGGGACACATCAATGCATTTAACATTTTTGTATTATTAATTATTATTAATAATGAGGAAAGACAAAAGGAAAAAAAGAGTGAGAGAAAGAGGGAGATACAAGGAAAGAAAGAAAGAAAGAGAAGAGAGAGAAAGAGAAAGGGAAAGAAAAAGAGAGCTCAGTATCTGTGTGTATGTGTATGTATGTGTGGGTGTGTAAATAGCATAGCACACCAATTATTTTAAATTGAAGAAGCAGAAACGCGCCAGAAATATTTCTCTCTCATAGTAGTATCTTGATGATATTTCATGATAAATGTATATATATATATACTCTCTCTTTTTCTCTCTCTTTCTCTCTTTCTTTCTCTCTCTCTCTTTCTCTCTCTTTCTTTGTTTATAAATGCTTTTCATGCTTTTGTTGATTCAATAATTGTTTGATTTACTAACTCGTTGCTGTCGTTACTATAGAACTCGTAAACATTTTTATGAGTATTTATTTTATTGTGTGTGTGTGTGTGTACCTCTATCCTGTAGTTTTTAGAATTGTCGCATTACTGACAAGCCTGTCCTATAGTGTGATCAAATAAACCATGCGAATGCAGTGTTGCCAATATAACGATACGATATTTGGGATAGCCAAATATTGTATCGCGAATAATACCTATACCGGCTTTAAGATGTATCGCCGGCAACAAAACAATACCGATACTTTTTTTCAAATTACCCCTCGCACTAATACATACAATTACTTTTGTAATTTTTTTAACTTATCGTAAGTTATGTTTAAATAAAAATTATAAATATAAAAGCAATAAAAATTATATATATACATATATAAACAATATCGAAATATCGAACATATATTTGACATTTGACAATATAAAAGTAATAAAAATTATATATATACATATATAAACAATATCGAAATATCGAACACACACACACACACACACATATATATATACATATATATATATACAAGTATATATATATATACAAATATATTGTGGGAGCTTGTTGAATCATCATACTTTTTACAGCATTTTCAGAATATCTTAGCTATAATTTCTGTAAGGATTCACCGGCTATAAATAGAATTTACGTCATCCCCATAGTTATCATTGTTTTTCATCGAAACTGACTTCGTTCATAGTTGACGTCATCAATCAAGTCAACCAATCCTTGACACATCATCGTCATTCTAAGTATTTTAAAAAATAATTATAATAAATGTATGTGTGTGTTTGTGCGTTCGTGTAGTGTGTGTTTATTGTGTTCACATCTGTATGAGTACTTTTATTTAATACTGTACTCTCGTTGTACTAAGTCCTGGTTCAGTCAGTCAGGCTGGCTGGCTGTTGGGTATTTTAATACCAACATAAGATAATACAAATAAAAACAAAATATCTATACGCTAGACAATAATAATGTTAATTATAATAATAATGTCGTCAACAAAATGGCAACCTGTCTGAAGAAACACACCATTTGCAGCAGAAGTAGTAGTAATGTTTATTTCTACTATCTCAAAATAAATGATTCGAATAGAGTTATAAGATATGATTGAAATCACACATGAATTATGTTATATCCATGTTTATATTTCTATATTTTTGACCAAAATTGCCATATCGCATTCTTTCCAATGTTGGCTGTGGTGGGAAGCGTGACGTCACGCATTAATTAATCTTTTTCAAACGGTTAATTACTAAGGGGCAGATGAATTATGATTGTAGATGTATTAGTGGTTTATGCAATGGCACAAGTATTACCAAGCTCAAATGCTATAGCTCAATATCTCATCTCATGGTTATGGTGTGGTTGTCTTGATTCGGGAGAACTTTGAATACATAAACGTTCGAATACAGGAACGTTGTTTAGGTTAAAAAGTTTGTTTAAAAAAAATTGTAGTTAACTTTTTTATAAATATTATGAACTCATTTAGGAAATAACATGGCAAATTGGTTATATGATTATCATCAAAGACATTTTTCAATAGCTTTCCATATATTTTACTTTTAAAATTCACTTGCTGCAATGCCAAGTTCTGGTGGGTTTGGTTTTTCATTTTTTTAATATAAAAAAATTCGATTTTAACACGTTAAAAATTTAAATCTAACTAAGAAAACAACTTGTTCATGATATACTTGACCTATTTTTATATTTTAAAGGTTTGATCAAATTAAAGTCTGTAATTGTCCCTGCACTGAAAAAACACAGTGCTTCTTTGATATTCCTGCATGGATCTGGAGATTCTGGAAATGGAGTGAAAGAATGGTTGGATTCCTTGCTCAATCGGGAATTCGCATTCCAACACATCAAATTAATCTTTCCAACAGCTCCTGAAAGGTTGTCAGTCGTTTTGAACAGATAAATTTAGTTTTTTTATTCAGTCTTTTTACTTAATAAATGTTAAGTTAATGTTAATCTTAAATAAATTAAAATTTGTTGATTCTAACAACCTAATTATAAATATCTTATTATTATTCTACTATTCTAACTTAGCAACTAAACTAAACTATGTAATGACAAATGAATGATTTCTTACAATGTATTTGAGTTTAGATTTTACACTCCATTTCAAGAAACAATGAGGGTGTGGTTTGATAGGGAAAAGATTTCCCCATTAGGAAAAGAAAATTATGACTTGATAGATTCCATGGCCTGTAACATTAAAGATATCATTCAGGAAGAAATTGACTCAGGAATATCAATCAATAGAATTATAATTGGTGGTTTTAATTTAAATTAATGATTTTTCCATACTTTACTATTTTTATTTATCTGATTATTGATTTGCAACGTAAATTTTACATAAATTGGCATATTTATTTTACAGGTGGTTTTTCTATGGGTGGGGCAATGGCATTTCATGTTGGCTATCGTTTCTGCCAAGATTTAGCTGGGGTCTTTTCAATATCTGCATTTTTAAATGATGATTCTGAAGTTTATAAAGTTGGTTATGTTACATTTTTCATCAGTATTTTTTTACATATTCATAAATTAGTTTGGCATTTGTACTCATAGCAAATATTCTATTTGTTTTAGGCAGTCAAAACTTCAAGTAAAAGGATGCCACCTCTGTATCAAGCACATGGTTCCAAAGATGAATTAGTTTTGCTACTGTGGGGTAAGAACACTAATGCAGAACTTTCGAAGTTGGGTGTGGACACAAAAATGAATGTATACCAAAATCTAGCTCATCAGATGAATAGAAAAGAAATTCAAGACCTTTCAGAATGGATTTATAATGTTATACCCCCTGAATAACACATCTGAGCCAAGAATCACATTTTATATTTATTATTAATGCTAATTGTGTTTATTTGAAGTTGTAATATTTATTTATATATTTACATTTAATCATTTAATTGTAGTTAAACATTTTATCGGTAAATAAACGTGATCAAATTTAGATTTTTCGGAGTTTGAGTTTTTGAGTACTATAGATCAATTCTCGCTAAAATTCTACGACTAGCATCTTGCCATACACACTAACGTTCGTGTTTAACAGCTTTCAACATCTTTCTATTCTTTGATCGCTCTCCGAACACCACTTTTCCGAACTGTTCAGTTATTTTTTCAGAGGTTTTCAACAAATTTTCAGTCAAATCAACCGAGGAAAGTGAGTTTTTTAGTCAGGACGTATTTTATTTTGTGCATTTTAATTGATTTAAAAACTTAAATGTTTCCTATTATTGCCCGTTTCTTGTAAAATGTGGCCTTTATGTTTTAAAATGCGTTTGTGATTATACTGGCTTGATGTGACTCGTGTTTCTTTTATTTTCATTTCAAGTTAAAGCTTCAATAAGCTATCGTGATCTCAAATTTAAATTATTTTTTCAATTATTTTTCTAGTGGAAATGAAATCAGAAACAAAGTTTGTGCCCCAATGGTATGTGATGTGATAGTGAAACCTGTGTTGTGATGTGTTTCGTGTACATGTCAACTGGATGAACATATGTAATGTATAATAAATATACTATATAATTATATACAATTGTCATTTTATTGTTTACTCATTGTTCTTATTTTTTAATTCTACTGAATTAAATGACTATTGTATTACAAATGACACAAAGCAAGCACAACTAAATGTTAAAAATTTTGAATGTCAAAAACATTGATCAACTCAAATTTAAAATTTTAAACCACCAGGTTACAATCAAAATCTCAAAATCCACCTGGGTTGGAGAAAGCTCCACCGTCAAATAGTGAAAACCACTCTTCATTTTTTGGTAGCAATCGGGCTGGCAGTGGGGGTGGTGGTCTCCCGTCATCTCCATTCATGAGGGACAAGGAGATCAGTCTTCGACCTAGAGCAGGCAAGCCATCCGGGTCTACCACTCAGCAGCCACCTTTCCAGCAGCAAATGTTTCCACCTAACCTAGCGAGTACAAATGTGAAGTACAAACTTGCTGATCACAGGTATGGTAGGGAGGAGATGTTGGCTTTGTTCACCCACAGTGATGAGGCACCGGATCAATTGAAGGAACATCCCATTTACTCTGCAGATGCACTGGTTCCACTGGCTCTCCTGCCTCAAACTGAAGAAGAACAAGTAACAAATGAGTTTCTATTTAGTACAAACATTTCTTTTAATAAAGTTACAACAAAAAATATTTGCTGTTTCAGACATAAGGTCATTAGTTGATTATTAACAGACATAAAAGTTAAAAGTTACTTCTGATATTTCACACTAGTCACTGCTGCTGCAAAGTGCGATGGGTGGCAAGCAGTTCACTCGTGGTGAGTACAGTCGGGGTGGGACGGGGTATGCGGGGAGAGGAGTAGCCAGGGGAGAGTATGGTGAAAGAGGAAGAGGAAGAGGTCAGTCGTACTTATTTTACATTTCATTTTATTTTGGTATTATTTTTATATTTCATAATTTGGAAATTGACTTATTTTGTTGTTTGGATTTGAAATATTGTCATAAAGGTTGAAACTTTCTACCATAGATATATTATTACACGATATTTTTTGAACAGGCCGGGGTAGGGATGATGAGGGTCGGATAAGGCCCAGAGAACCCTGGGAAGATAGGTTTGTACCTGATTTCATAGTACTGTGCGTGTGTGTAGTGGGAGATGATTTTTAGTTGAACTTTCTTTCAGATATACAACCACTCTTCAATGTGTAACTGCTTATAGCCTTATTGTACCTGAATAGCACCAATTATTCTTTCATGTAGACCACTAAGAAGCCAAGAGCACCAAGCTTACGATGAAGGCATCCAATCATCTTCCTCCACTTCGTCTTATCCGTACTCCTCATCATCTCATTCACTCTTCAGCCGCCCAAACTCCAACGACAGCTGGAGGCAGAAAAGTAACTATTACCATCACCAGCATCAGCAGCAACATCAAAATCACGGGGATTTTGTAGAGGGTGACGAGTATGGTAGTGTGGGGACGAAAACTGTTTTCAAGGATAGATGGGGTTAGTAAGTTGTTGGTGTTTTTTGAAAAAAAACGATTTACATTTTTTATTATTTTGTTTTGTTGTTGTTTGTTATTATATCAATGTCGTTGTTATTAGTGAAAGACTACAAAAATATGAATTACTTCTGAAAAAATTGTGACCTTAGTTTGTTCACTTGTTGCTCCATCCATCCTAGGTCCGACCAATTGGAGAGAACCTCGAACACTCGACCACAGTAGCAGTAACGTCAACATCCCTAACTCTAGATTAGATGATGCGGCCAGTTACGGCAAGTCATCGAGTCGAGATCGACCGCTGATTGAGTTAAAAAGGTCAAGAAGTCTCTATGAAGATGATCCTCAAAGTGACCCTTTCATTTTTAATTTTTTTCTCTCTGTGTTTCACTCTGTTATATAATGCTTATTTGTTATTGTTTAATAATTATATAGTTCGAAGAAAAATTGTTCTTTTTTTGGTCACTTGCTTTCATGCTTGAGTTTAAAATTGTAAAAAAATTGAATAGTCAATTCTTGAATATTTTGTCTAATGTTGAACTTGTATATATTTCTTCCTTGCTTTCTTATTGGCTGGTAGATATAGCTAATGGAAGTGATATAAAGAGTTAGATTTATGTTGAGTGTTTGTGATTGTTTTTTTAGTGTTTCTCTCTGTATGTTTGGATGCGTGGTGTTTGTGTGTGCGTGCGCGCGCACGAATATATGTGTGTTGTAGCCATTTTTATTCATTTTGATGTTGATAATATAGATACATGGTGCTTTTATGTTGTGTTTTTCAATTTTTTGTTCCATTTTTTACATTTTTGTTTTCATATTCAAGTTATTTTTCCTTATTGTTCTCAGTTTATTGTTATTGATTTGATTGACTGTTTTACATTTATTTTACTTCTTTTATTCATCATCATCACTATCATCATCACCATCATCATCACCTGTCTATGTCTACCATCGCTACCACCATCATCATCATTTTCATAATTTATTCAACATTATTAATTAACCATTCACCTCTATTAACATGATTTGCTCAGCATCATTAACATAATATATTCATCACACTCGTCCACCTTCATTAACATAATTTGTTCAGCATCATTAACATAATTTATTCACCTAACACATGTAACAGAGATCCCAGAGTGGGTAACTCATGACGATCACGTGTCCTTGACCTGCGAGGGAAGTTTCGACAACAGTGGTGCATTTCTTCCTCGCTCGAAGGTTAACCATAACTATAATTTTGTTATTACTTTTGTTTTTATTATTTTTGTTGAATTTATAATTATGGAACTACTGTCTCAAATGTTGTGTTAATATTTCTTGTAAATCTCTTGTAAATATATTTTCCACCTGTTTAGAAAACAACATCTCGAAGGGTTGGCGATAGAAACGTCGATGACAGGGTTCTAGAGAGTTGGGAAGATGATGACGACGTTAATGGCGATTGTCTTTCTCAGGTTAATAACTCAAACATAAGTGTCGCACAGACGACAACATTAACGACTGCAGCAGTTAAAACATCATCAGATAGTGTAGATGGTGTGGCTGCAGCAACAACCACAACGACGACATTAACGGCAACTGCATCAGCGTCAATCTCAACATCTACTGCTGTCACCCAACAACAACAACCGCTGCCAAAGCCACAACAATCTTTAAAACAGCAACAAGATTTTTATGAAACTTTAGAACCGGAAACAACGACGCCAAAACCGCCGACAACAACGTTAACTTTGTCTACATCGGCAGATGTCTCAAAAGAGCGAAACTACAACATCGCTACTACCAATTCTGTCTCAGATGACATCACGCAACGGTTGCAGCAACATCAATCACTGTCATCTTTATCACCGTCGCCGTTACCATCTTCATTCAGACCTCAGCAGCAACAACCGCAGCAGCAGCAATTTAATTTAAACACTGCATATCCTACATTCTCACTGGCAGGTGATAGTGCATTCATTGCAGACATAACAAGCTTACACGTGACTGAAGATTTTGTTATTCCCGAGTTAAACTCCTCACTTAGACAGATCAATTCAAGTTTGTTTTTTTCTCTCTCTCCATAAATAATGTTGTGAAATTTGAATAATTTTTTATAAAAATATTCATTGTTACCAAAATCTAGCTCCTACTCCAAAGCCATTCTCTCCTGCACTTACTAACGTATCATCCATGTTGGCAGCTGATTCGAAGTCCAGTTATACGAGGGACTGCTGGTTCTATCGGGATCCTCAAGATGATATTCAAGGTTGGCTGGTTGGCTGATTGGTTGGTTGGTTGGCTGGTTGGTTGGCTGGTTGGTCAGTTGGTTGGCTGGTTGGTTGGTTGGTTGGTCGGTTGGCTGATTTAACGACTGATTTGATCACTGATATCTGATTTGATTCACTGACTAGCTTGTTTCTTCTTAATTTTTCATCCATTAGTCTGGGAGTGGACCGTTTTTCGGATGTATGATACAAACCTGATTTTATTTTCTCACTTGTTTCGCATTAACAACGACAGGCCCATTCAAGGACATTGAGATGAATGACTGGTTCAATTTGGGCTACTTTGAAATGTCACTCAAAATTAGAGCCGGACATGATGGAGATTTCTTAACATTAGGTCAGTTTGTCTGTCTGTCTGTCGGTCTGTCTGTCTCTTTTCTTGCTTGCTTGTTTGTTTGTTTGTTTATAACTGTGTTTTCGTTTATACACGACTAAAATAATCACATCCACAGTTAATGGCACAGAAATATCAGCTAAAAATAACGTTCAATTTTTAAAAAATTGTGAGAGCTATTAGAAGATTAGTAGAAATGCTAATGAGATGTTATATTTAAGGATTGAAATGTTCTATTTAAAGATTACTACACTCCTTTTACTTACAGCCAGGTTTAAAATTTTGAAAAATTAATAAACAAAATCCTAGCTTGAACTTGACAAGCAGCTCAGCAAAAAATTCAGTATACATCAGTGGCATATTGTGGACCAGAATGTTTGTGGAGTACTTTTTCGTTTTATGTGATGAATTTTGTTTTTTTTTTGCTTGCAGGTGATTTCATTGCTAAAGTTCGTGGTCTTCCATTTACTTCAAACGTGCCTGATCATGCCAGTAACAATCTTCTACCTCCTTCTCAACAACAATTACATCAACCACCACAACAACAATTACAGCAACCACAACAACAACAGTTACATCAACAGCAAACTACATTAGTGCCTCCCGTTCAACCATCTGTTGTTTGTGATGTCAGTTTTGTGTTATTTTTTTTTGTGATATTTGCCTCTATTTTCACCTATTAATTTATAAATGTATTATTTATCTCTATTTATTTGATTAAAGATTAACTTTTATGATGATTTTTGTTGTTTAAATATGAACTTTACACTGTAACATGATAACAATGACATCAACAGCCCTTCATAAATCCGACAATTATGGATAACGCTAGTTCACACCATCATCAACATCAATTACAACAGCAGCAACAACTGCAGCAGCAACAACTACAGCAACAACAACAACTACAACAACAACAACAGCAGTTGATACCATCCAATAGTCTTTACGGCTACCAGGAACTACCACTTATACAGCCTCAACCGCCATTACTGCAGTCTCAACTAATTCTTCAGCAACAACAACAAATGTTGCAACAGCAGCAACAACAAATGTTACAGCAGCAACAACATTCATTATATGGGTGTGCATTCATTTTTATTTGTTAAGTAAGGGACATAATTAGACAGCTATTAAATTTACCTCTATCTATCTATCTGTCTGTCTGTCTGTCTATCTACCAATCTATCTACCAATCTATCTATTTATCTTTGATTCATTTATTATTTAATTTTTAAATGTTGGTAATTAAAATTACTCACTTCAGTTTCTTAACGGATGAGTCGGACCAGGCTCTCTTTGCTGCACCGACAACTCCAGTTAAATTAAGTAAGTTCTTGTGCCGTTACTATTGTTATTCTTGTTATTTTTTGTGTGATGTCTTATGTGTTTGTGTTGTGAACTAATTAATTAATCAAATACTTCAATTTCTTTTAAATGTTGCTAATGTCAATTAAATTCTTTTCTGTTTGGGGCTTAGTGATTGTTAGTTGCAAATGATTTACCATTAACTAATTTTGAACACACACAAACACACACACACACAGGCACCTCGAGTCCTGAAGACGCCTGGCAGGCTGCAGGCACCACGCGTTTATTCAGCGGCAGTAGTGGCGCTACCAACATCCACGATGACGTCATCAACACCGCCACACAACAGCAACAGCAAAGACAACATATAGCATCTGCGTGGAGCAATATCGCGAGGACGCCCTCGATACCGATGCCACAACAGCAGCCGGTCGTTAGTGTGGCCGCTTCGGCCGCTCCTGATTTGATAGCTGACAAGATGAGAGAGATTGCTGAAAATGAAGAAAAGTTGAGGAGGAGAAAAGAGGAAGAGGTAGATGTTTGGCATATTTGTTTTTGTTTTCGTTTTTTTTTGTTCACCGATGTTTCTAACAAATTATTTTATTAGTGTGAAATATTTTTATTCATTCATCTAGTCTTTGTCGTAAATTATAATTTTTTTAAAATAAATTTTAGTGAAGATTTATCTTGTCACCTAACCTAACAGGAGAGGTTGAAAGTTGAGGAGATGTTGCAGCAACAGGCAGAAACGTTGAAGAAACAAGAAGAGATGCTGAGAAGGAGAGAGGAGGAGTTGAGAAAGAAGGAAGAAGAGGCAGAGAGGATGGAGATGGAGAAACAACAACTTCTGCTACGTCAACAACAGTTGCAACAACAACAGCAGCAGCAACTTCTACTGCAGCAACAGCAGCTGGAACAACCGGATCAGAGCAAACCGGACAGTGATAGAGATGTAATGGAAGAAGATTCAAGTAACGATAGATGGGAGAGAAAAGGCGGAGACTCTGAAAAAAAGAAAGAGAGTGATAAAAAGAAACAAAAACAAAAACATCAGCAACAGCAACAACAGAAATCAGCACAGCAGCAACAACAAAAACAACAACAACCATCTAAACAACTTCACCAGCAAGAAGCTGTTGAGAAGTTGTCTCAATTGAAGATAACGGTATGCCTATGTTTTTATCTTGACTGGCTGATTGATTGATTGATTGATTGATTGATTGATTGATTGATTGATTGATTGATTGATTGATTGATTGATTGATTGCTTTGTTAAGTCATTTCTTAGTTTGAGGGAAATTTTTTCAAGAAAATCTTTTTATTAAATATAAATCTTATTTTGTTGTGTGAAACTTGCACTTATACAATAATCCTCTAGAACTTTCTATCACCTCACAGCAGCAGCACGACGTACAACAACAGCAACAAAAACATCAGCAAAAAACCGGCACACCACCAATTGCGTCGGCCACAACTTCAAACGCCTGGGGGCAGTCATCGACATCAGCCTCATCGCCATCATCACTAACGTTCGATAGGTTCAAAATTCCCAACAATTCTCAAGTTGTTGATCAGAAGGAACAACAAAAACAATTTATGGAGCAGGTAAAAAAACAGCAGCAGCTGTATCAGTATCCACAACAGCAGCCGTCCAAATCTGGCTGGAAATATAACCCCAAGTGAATAATTAACTATTCTATATGGCGTTTATTATTTTGGGGCACTTTATTAACACATTATTTAGTGACCACTCTTGCAAATTAGCAAAATTTATTGAATATTTTACAGCACTTATGACATCTTTTTCTGACCAATCACGATTCAGGAATCCTGCCAAATCCTTACTGGACATTCAGGCCGAGGAGCAAGAGAGGCAAATGAGTGAAGAGGCGACTAAAAGCCAGGTTTGTTTTTAGTGTTTTTTCCGGTTTTTCCTATTAAAAGAAACATTTCGTTATCAATCAATAGCATCACAGTAAACCCCATGAAATACAGAACAGACCGTCAGATTCTGGTTCATTTGGATCGCAGTGGACTGGCAATGCGAAGGAAATTATTAGCAAGCTACCTTTGGTACCACCAATCATCAACAATATTGCTGGTTTGTTTGTTTGTATGTTTGTCTGGCTGCCTGTCTGTCTGGCTACATTGTTTGTCCATATTGTTTGACTGCTTGTTTGTGTAGTTTGTCTGCACGCTTGTATAAAGTAAAACACATTTTAAAAGCGCCATCAGTGCCAAATGATGCAAGTTCAGTCTGGGAACCCCTGTCCACGGCTCCTTTCCACCATCATCAAGGAAACAGTAGGAAGCCACAGAAACCCATTGATAAGTTTGTAACTGCCATAACTGCTTTTATAATGGCTATCATTGCTAATGCTTATATACGTATGTATATATGTTTGTCTGTGCTCACACTAGTTCTCAGTTTCCAGCTTTGGCCCCAACCAAGTCTTCAACAAAGCAGCAACAGCAGAGCAAGAAGCCAGCAGCTGATGCTGTCGTCGGTGGCTCCAAAGCAAACACTAAGACTAGCAAAGAAGAGGTTGTATGTTGTTGTTGTTGTTGTTGTTGTTGTTGTTGTTGTCATTGCGTGACTATAGTGTAAAAATAAATAACTAATTATTGACAGGTGGTAGTGCAGAAGCTGTTTGAAATGCCGCAAGTTAGGAAGGATGAGCTGACGGAGTGGTGCCAGCAGTCACTGAAAGGAATGAAAGTTGATGTTGACAGTCAGTGTTCTTCTATAGTTCCACCTAATTATAAAATTTATAGCTTCTTTTAATTAGTAAATTGTTTGCGAGTGTTATTATAGTTGATTAATGTTCTCATTTGTCATTATAAAAATGTTACAATTTGCAGTACCGACGCTGGTTGGCTTGCTGAGAGATATTGAATCAACCGAAGAGGTACGTACGTGTGTTTGTGTTAAAACATTTGCATATCATTTACATATTGGCTGAATATTCAAATGCAGGTGTATGACTATGTGTACAGCTACCTGGGTGAATCGAAACGCATAAAAGAATTTGCACAGCAGTTCATCGAGAAGAGAAAGAAAGGAAATGCAGTGGCTACTGCTGCTGCTGCCGCTGGCGGTGTTGGTGGATGGAGTGCTGACAGCAATCTGGAAAAGAAAAACAAAAAGGTAATACTGTGCGCGTGTATGTGCGAGTGTGCGTGCGTGGGTACGTATGTTTCTACTTGTGTGTTTGAATAGATGATTTTGTCTGCGTGAGAGGGTGTGGCGGTGTGTTGGACGGTAAAACATTTTGATGCATACAATGCGATACAAACTGCAATGAGAACATTAATCGCAATCAACTCTGTCTACATGGTCGTCGACAACAACAACAACAGCAGCAACACTAATAACATTAACACCGTCAACCAACAGCAGGACAACGGTAACAGTAACTGGAACGTGGTAGGATCGAACCAGCAGCAACCGGCGACCAAACAGCCGAAACAACAGCAGAAGTCATCATCATCAGCTAATGCAACATCAGCAGCTGTGTCGTCGTCTACGTCAGCGGCGTCAGCCGCGACTGCAGTAGCGTCATCTAGGAAAGGTAAAAAACAGAAAATGACAAAACTGGACGGCACCATGCTGGGTTTCTCGGTACTGGCAGATCCATCGAGAGTTAACGTCGGAGAAATTGACTCAGTGCCTCTTGTTCATAAAAAATGATTTCATTTATTCGTTCGTTCATTCTTTCATCATCGTCACCTCTATCTGTTTGTTCATTCGTTCGTTCATTCATTCTTCATTCTTCTTTCAATCATTTATTCACTTATTCATTCATTCATTGTTGTATCTATCAGTTCATCCTTCATTATTCTAACAATCTTCAACACTTATCTATTTATCGATCTATTCATTCATTTATCTATTCTTTCATTCTTTCTTTCATTCATCTTTATCTCTCTCTCCACCTATTCACCCAATCAAATAATGTTACGGGCTGGAATTCATTAAATTAAAATGAATGAACGAATGGATAAATGAATAATAATAATAATAATAACCACAACAACAATAATGATAATAATTATGATAATTTTTATAGTATATGATAAGATGATGAGAATGTACGATAATATTTTAGTAAGAAAATATGTTAATACCATTATTATCTGTTATTATGATCATTGATTTGTTTAGTAACGTTTGGAGTATTATTTCTACCCTTATTATTATTATTATTATTATTATTATTATTATTAGCCAATTAATTAATTGTGGCGCCGTTGAATGAAGCGTAGATTTTATGAAACCTTACATACATATTTTACACACACGCACACACACACACACACACATATATATATATATATAAATATATATATATATATACAATACTATGTTATGTTATATACTATATATATAGATGTATACATATATATATATAGACTCTATTATGTTATATATTGTATATATAATACATACTATGTATGTATATATATGCATAATATATTTATACATATTATATATATATAATGTATTTAAATATATATATTTATTTATCCTTTCTTTGTAAATAATTTTTGCTTGTTGAGCAATAAAATGATTTTTCAACTGTTAAACTGTTTGTAGTAAATTTTAAAGTGAGTATGCTTTTGTGTGTGTGTGTGTGTGCGTGCTTGTTTGCGTGTGTGTGTGTGTTTGCTTGTTTGTTTGTGTGTGTGTGTAATAAATTTATTTATTGATTAGCTAAATCAAATAATTAGCGTACAAAAAAAGTCATTTTAAACTACGTAATCCATGTCGTATCTCTCTCTTTCTCTTTCTTTCCTTTTCTCTCTTAAAATTTTCCCTTCTTTCTTTCTAGTTTTCACACTCCCTCCATTTTTTCTGCTCTTGAATATCATAGGGAGAGAGAGGAAGAGAGAGTGAAAGATACATGCTCTCTTTTCAAGGATGTTGTGTTTGTATGTATGTGTATATCTGTGTGTATGTATATATAAATATATACATACATATGTATATGTGTGTATACATATATATATATACACACATATATATCTATATGTGTGTGTGTGTTGTGTGTGTGTGTGTGTGTTTTTATTGTTTGGGGAGTAAGATTTGTCTGTTTATAAATAAATAAATTGCGATGGTGCTATTGGGTGATAATACAAATAATAATATTATTGTTATTATTTTTTTTTTATAAGTAGTATCCGTATTCTGTCGGAGTGCATGTTTTTATGATTTAATTTAATTTAATTAACGCATCGTGTGGTTTAATCTCGTTTGGTCTTCTATTTTAGTTAAAATAATAATGGAGTTATTATTATTGTTTTTGTTGTTATTATTATGAAAATATTATTTAATGATGGTAAATTATTTTAACAATAATTAAAAGGCAAGAAGTTACTCATTGCCATTTCTTCACTCTACTACTACTACTATGTATTTTATCAAAATGATGATGATGATGATGACGACGAGAACGATGACGACGATGATGACACTGCTGTTTTACTGTTATCTTTACTTGAACGTATTTTATGCACTGTTAATGAATTACAATAAATTGATTAATTATTTAATTGGTTGATTAAAATTATAAAGGACGCCGATTGGATTTTAAATTAAAATAGAAATGATCTATTAATTATAACGCGAGTGTGTTTTATATTTAATCAGTTCATCTTTTACCGATTTGAAATAATAATAATTTTTGATAAAAAGCAATCACATAGAATCTTTATACATAGAACAATGTTACAAAACAATACTAGTACAATTTTACAGACAATGAACTTTACGATTATATTTAACTTTACAATCACATAGAAGCTCCACTTAACTTTACAATCACATAGAAGCTCCACTTAACTTTACAATCACATAGAAACTTCACACATAGAATTATGAATTTCCATGATTCAATGAAACTGAGCAATTTTTGAGTTGCTATCTTTATTCAATTGAAACTTTTAAAAGGATTGATATATACACAGGCAGAATAAATTCACTAAAATACATAAAGAAATATATACAGTGCATGAAGATTTCTTCAAAATCTTTCATTAAAATTGGAGATAGTGGTGAGTTTCAACTTCATATACCTCTTCCGTGAAGCATCACGCAAATTTTTACATACCACATCCTTGACGTGGGCGCTGGCAACCTCCTTCCTACAGAAGGGACAGGATGCTTTCTCTTTCAACCAGAGTTTGGAACACTGGAAGTGGAATACGTAGCCACATGATAATTCGTGCAGCATCGTACGTTCTTCAAACTTCACTACATATGACACATGAATATTCCGCTGAAGTACGGAACTTTGAGGCATTGGTCGATCATTGTGGTCATCATTCAACATTGAGATGAGTTTGGCAACTCTTTGGAATTCTTTTTTTTTCAAGTCCATGATTGCTTTGATGATGCTTCAAAAATGCTATAAAAATTTTCATTTGATCCAAATATACGTCATATTTATATTTCTTTAAATACGACTAATCCATTCTTAATGTGTTTCATAATATTAATATTGTATGGTGGTGCGGCAATTTTAAGAGATTAATATATTTCATTTTGCTTTCACTAAATTACATTGAGGATATGCTTCGAACTCGATATTTTTATTCAAATAGCGTATCATTTACTGATTTAAAGGCAAACGATCTTTGTTTATTAAGTTTTTTGTTGAAAATAATATAAAAAAAAATTGAATATTGATGAAATATACAAATAACGTTCAAAAATCAGCATACAATCAATTGAAATCCAACAGACACGCTTTAAAATAGTCATTTTGGAAGAGACATTCACAATTAAATGGCAGTTCCTCTCTCAAGGTTTTGTTTGATCTCTGCAGTGTACTGTCCGTAGAAGCGTTCCAAATTTTTGTTGAACTTCATGTTACGTTCGTTGATGTAGTCGATGTCATCGTCCTCATCGTGTTTGCGTCGTCTGCTGTATTTAGCGCGCTCAACCATCCGACTTATGGCTTCGGGGGTGTCCTTGTGTTCCGTTGTCCCCAAGGTGTTTAGGCCTGCGTAAAAGACCTCCTATCCAAGTTTTTCTTCCTCCTCATTATATTCCTCTGTTTCATCTTCTTCGTCAACCTTTGATACGAAGCCTGCTCAAAATCACCAAATCCTGTATCAGAATTTTTCCTCTTCTTCTTCCTCTCCCATGAGAGCTTGGTTATTCAGCTTTCTAGCTTCATTCATTTTTAGATGTAGATTTCGTAATCTAGAAAGTCTATCGGCTAATATCATTCCCTTTTTCAATGTCTGACATTTTGCTTGAAGATTAAGAACAAAATAATACGAAACAAAATTAATACACGAATTAAGCCAAATAAGAACAAACTTCGTTTCGTACGCGACTGAGACGATTATAAATTTTTGATGACGTCGTAACTCTTATATACCCATTCAACAAGGGTTCGCAAAGTTCATTATTCATCTCTTTTTTATTTCTTTAAAACGCTAAACAAAGATGCAGAATTAATTACAGAGTCTATGCCTAACTAAATTACGACCACGAAACAAAGTTAATAGATTATCACTTTACGATGATTTTATTGTCTTTGTTAATATTGTGTATGTATATTATATGTGCATGTATATGTGTGTGTGTGTGTGTGTGGTGTGTATGTGTTTGCTTTGTATGTGTGATACTGTATTGAACAAAAAATATTTTTTTAATCAAAAAATTAAAATTTAGCGCTAAAGTATTTTATCAAAAAGTGGGGAATTACACAGGTAAAAAATTTAAAAATAGCCGTGTATATCTCTTTGGACAGTTTTTAGATCAAATTTTTACGGCGATTTGTAAATGTTACGAGAAGCAGACGAGAAGGTGATTTTTAATTAATTTTTGTCATTATTTAATTTTTGTAATTTATTTAAAAATTTTCACACTCGTTTTTTACTCTAATAGGTACGTACATGTAGCATGCTTTGATTTAAATTTTAATTTAATTAAAACAATTACTAGAAATCATTACTAATGTATAATAATTACGCAATTATTGTTACCTAATATTTCTACTAATTACTAATTGGTTTCATTAATTAGTTATTTTTAATACTTAAAAACGAGAAAACCATATTTTTATGCTATTTAACTAATACTAATTTAACCACCAAACTTTACTACTACTAGAGTACTAAACTAAGATTAATTAATACTAAGTAACATAATAGTATAAAGTGAGAAAGAGAGAGAGGGAGGGAGAAAGTAAAAGAGAGAGAGAGAGAGATCTAGACTTTCTTTAACACCTGTAAAAGTTAAGACACTATTGTTTAACTGATTACTTTTATATATAAGTCTGTAATATAATATTGCTAAAGTATATTAAAAAAGAGATGCATGCTATTAACTATTAAGTTATGTATGATGAAAAAATACTTGTCCATTCAAATAAAGGTTGAAGATACTGATAAATTAATTTAAGAACACCTAAAAAATAGTTTATGTAAGTCAAGAGAGAGAGAGAGAGAGAGAGAGAGAGAGAGAGAGATGGAGAAAGATAGAGAGAGAAGAGAGATGTGTGTGTCTTGTGAGTTTAATTGATAAACATAGTAAGACATGAACTTTTGATAAACCATTCTTCAAAAATTAATACAAAATTTTACTATAACAACATGATGTGATTTGTGATTCATTATATAGTAACTTGACAAACTATGTCATTATTCATCTCTTTCTTGCCTCTCTCTCTTTCTCTCTCTCTCTCTCTTCATGACTGTGCTTTGGGTATTGTGTTAGATAAACTTAGTAATTCCAAGTTGATTCTTATGAAATTGAATAGATTTGCTGATTGAAGTGTTATAAATTCATATTAACAAATGTTCAACACATACACACACACACATTCGTACGCATACACACACACTCACACATACACATACTTATTTTATATCAATAATATTACAAATATATAGATACTACAGTACATGCAATGAATGGGTTAATATTAATTAGACTTATTCACTTTGTGTATATATATATGTGTGTGTGTGTGCGCGTGCATACATATATGTGTATAAATATATATACATATATGTGATATATATATATATATATATATATATATATATATATGTTGGTAATAGACCATAATTTTTACAATATTCTATAAATTCTACCGAATGTTTGGCATTAATATGTTTGTAGTTCGTTTTTTCGATTTTTCTCACTAAAGTTTTTTGGTGAACGTTTAGTTTATTAAAATTAAAAATAAACTTATTTTTCGAATTCATGCTGCAAATAAGGCCATATTTCGATTCCGAATGAATCATCGTCAGTGCTCCTTGCTGTATATATAGGGAAATATTGACTTTGTCAAGATTAACTTTGACGTTGTAAAAAACTTTGACGTTGTAACAATTCTACAACACTTTGGTGTTGTAAAATTGAAATTGTTATAATGTTTTATTTGTTCTTTTATTTATTTTAATTAATAGTTTGAACTAAGGTATTAAGGGCTTTATGCTTATCTGTGTGTAGTACCAATTTGTATTTGTGTATATGTATGTTATTAAACTTATTTGGCAACAATTTTTTTTAACTGTAATAAATAAATAAAATTATTAATTAAATATATATTTTGATATATTTACTCAAGTTATAAGATATGTTATAAATAAATTAATTAATTAACTAATTAATAGAACTCTAGACTAAATTTGATTGATGGTAGTTGGGATAGAAAATGGCGTCAATAAAGAAACAGCAACAACATCAGCAACTTCAACAACAGCAACAACATCATTTAAGACCATCTTCAATTTTGATATCTGGAGAAAAGAAGCAATTGAATAGAATCTTGGAAGAACAAGAAGCACAGTTAGAAATTAATTGATTGAATGAAGGAATGGATGGATGAATGAATGAATGAATGAACAAACGAACGAATGAATGAAATAAATTAACAGTGAATGTCTTGATGCGCAAATTGATAAATTCTCATTTCTATACAGTTTTATTCATGGTCACTTTTTATAGAAAATATTCTCACTACATTTTATAAATAAATCTCAAATTTAGTTAAATCAAATTAAAATAGAATTAATTGCTAATTAAGAAATAAATTACTTTAATTTTTAATAAAATTTCCAAATTTTTTTTTCTGTAGGAATTTGAAAAGAAGCAGAGACAATATTGCAAGTGTGTTGAGAAAAAATGCGCTACTCTTGAGCAGAAGAACACTGAATAGTAACAACAATAACAACAACAATAACAATAATATTAATAATAATTATAGTACTATTAAAAGGATTATTTCCTTGAAGGATAAGAGAAGTAATTATAGTATTAGTAATAATAATAATAGTTTGAAATCTGCCTGTCCCTATGATTCTGTAAGCAGTTTGACAGTTGGTTATACTGAGTCATTATTATGATACAAAATGATTATTGCTATAGTTATTGTTGTTGTTATTGTTGTTGCTTTTGTTATTATGGTTGTTATGTTGTTAAAACATTTTTTGTGTTTTTTATGTAATGTCGAATTGATTTCTTTTTTTCACGCAACGCCACAAAACTAGCGCTACAGAACGTCGAATTATTTGGCGCCAGCAACAACAACAACTTCAGCCGCAACGACATCAGCCACAGCGACAACGTCATCACTAAGAGCGTCAACAGCGTTAAGAAATCGCAGAATTCCCCTGAGAGCTCACAGCATTCAGAACATCTGTCGAATACCATCAGCCACAAGAATCTCCACGACAAAACCTCCTACAACAACAACAACAACAACAACATCATCATCATCAAGAAACTCCACAACAACAACAACAGCATCATCGATAAACAACAACCACAACAACAGACATAGGCCAAACGATCGCTTGAAAAGGGCATACAGCATCCAGAACATACAATCCAAAGCTACCACACCTGCCACAACGACAACGACGACGACGAAACCTGCTGTGGCATACAACGCAGAACTACTGATAAAATTTGAAAAGGAAAAAAAGCTGCTGGATGCCAAAATTTTAGAACTCACTGACCTTGCAGAGTCAAGGGGAAGAGAGATAGAAAGATTAGAGGGAGTGTTAGTTAACGAGAGAGAGAAAAACAGAGCTGAAGGTATTAGTGTATTTGTATTAATAATGTAATTAGTAATATAATTAGTATTTGCATTAATGATTGAAGTTGTATTTTGGGGATTTCCTTAGTATTCCGTTGAGTAATTTAATTGGTTTGGTATTTGCATGAGCAATTGTCCAGACATTTTTGTATGAAGTATTCGTATTCGTGTTAGGAATTTTCTTAGCGTTAGGATTGTTATTTCCGTTTTTAAAATTTGTTGAGGGTGATGTTTTTGTTTGCTTGTTGGAAGTATTAGTTTGTATTTGTTAGTGTTAGCGTGTGATATCATTTGTATTGCGTTAGTATTTGCTCGTTGCTTAATAATTGATGGAGCTGGCATCAGCTTAAAAATGTTTGTATAAATGTGTTTTAGAAATGTGTATTTTCATCAACATCATTCCAAACGTCTTTATTCGCCATTTGTACATCTCAGAAAAATTGATAATACTGTTAAATTGATATTTTATTATAATAAAGCTATATTATTATAATAAAATACTAGAGATATCGCAGTTGAAATCTGAGAATCTCGCCTTAAAGCAGCAGCTGAGGGAGAACGGCATCTCAATTGAGCACTTCACAGACTCTGAAAAACTTTTCCTACTAGAAAAAATGATGTCCAGAAATGGAGGAAGGGTTCAAAGTGTCAATGAACATTCGACCGTGAACTTGAACCCTGACCCGATTGATCAGGCAGATTTCAGGCTATCGTCTGAGGAATTGAATGATATAGCTCATAGATATCGTACACTATACAGTAATAATGATCACGACAATGATGTCGATGATGACGATAATGAGTTAGTTTGTGTTTTATGTTCTTTGTTGGTTTATGTTCTTTGTTTCTTTGTTGGTTTGTTAGGCTTATTCATCGTCTTTGTTGCATTTTTTCTTCTTTTCATAATTCAACTCTCAGAGCTATAATATTAAAGTTACTAATAATAATTATAACCGTGTTATAATAATTATTGTAATTATAATTAAATGAATGATAATAATTTCTCACAGAGACAATTCGGACCTGATAGCGACGACGAACCTAGACAGACACAACAGCATGAGTGTTGATAGGGGCTTAAATGCCGTCAGTGTGGCTGACCTCCGTGAAAGGTCAGCGTCCTTTGTGCGTCATAATAAATTATGACGATTAATTATAATGATTATAATTATGATATTTATGGTGATAATTGTTTTTATTGTATTTTTGATAGTACTAAAAAAGTTTTTATTAACTAGAATCCACTTAGTATTACCATTTATTTTAATGCTATAGCTCAATTCTAACGCCAAAAATTTCCATTAGATAATGAGGCAAACACTTTCAGAGGAACTTGAAGTTCAGGCGCTATAGTTCAATTCTTATAAGACATTTTACTTTGTAATCTTCTTAAAGGTGATATTTTATTGTTTGGTAGACTAGTGCAGATGCAAGAGTCCCAGCACAGCGTCAACGAAGAACTACAGGCCACCCTGCAAGAGCTGATTGACCTGCAAGAGAACGTCAACCAGCTAAACGAAGTGAACGACAGTCTCAAGATGGATAGGAAGATTTTGCTCGAGTCTCTCTGCTCCACTACTGAAAAGTTGGAGAACTCTAGAAGACAGGTGAATGAATGAATGAAAAAATGAATGAATGAATGAATGAATGAGCTAGTAGATAAATGAAGGAATGAATAAGTGAATGAATTGAAAGTCAGCAGTTTAAATTTTGATTCAAGGTCGACAACCTCAAATCTCTTCTGATTTCTAATCCTCTTTTGATGCACCATAACAACGACAATGGCGACACTAACGACAGCAGCAGCTGCAGTAACAGCAAAGCCGCCAGCCGACAGCAAAGCGTCGACAGAGAATCGCAATTGGTGGCATTGGTCAACTGTGCTGAGCAGGAAAAAGAAGAACTACTTTTGAAACAGGTCAAGTGAATGAACGAATGAATAAATGAATGAATGAATTAACGGAGGAATGAATGTTAATTACTCTCAAAAAAAAAATAAATTGTTAATTAAAAAATAAAAGTTAATTAATCTCACTTTTATTTTCTCTCTCTTTCTCTCTCTTAATACCATACTTTGAAACTGATATAAACGACACTTGACACTTAACAGTGTACGCACATTTTTGTTGAATGCCTCAAATCTCAAATGAATACTAATACTACTACTAATACTTCTACTACTACTACTACTACTACTACTACTACTACTACTACTACTACTAATAATAATAATAATAATAATAATAATAATAATAATAATACTAGAGATAATAGTAATAATAATAATAATAAATATAATAATATACTAATTGACACGAATGCTTAGGCGGAATACGAAAAGATGGTAGGAACAATGGAGGTAGAGAACAGAGAGTTGAGAGATGCTGTCCACAGCCTACGTTGTAACGGCAGCTGCTTGGCTGCTTCCGTTGCTACTGCTGCTGCTGATGATGTCGATGATGATTGCGATGGTGGTAGAGTTAAAATATGCGACAGCTGTCTGAATAATCACAATATCAGTCATCATAACTCCACTGCTTGCTATGACACTCAAGGCGGCGATGTATGTAGTTATGATGACATTTTGAGGAATAAACATCCTCATCATCATCTGATTCAACAACAACACCAACAACATCAACAACAAAAAATTCACCCAAATAATGAAACGCAACAGCAACAGCAGCAGAAACTCCAGCAACAAGTCAACATGTTGACGGAACAGTTGAAAGAGCAGGCAGACACTGTTGAGTTGTTGCAGGGTAACTTGAGTGCGGCTCAGTTGGCGAAAAATTTGCTGAAAAGAGAACTGAACACTTGCAGACTGAATTTTAACGTAGAGAAAGATGAATGGCTGCAATTTCAGGTTGGTTTGGTTAGCGATTTGTCTGTTTGTTTTTGTTTGTCTGTTTGTTTGTTCGTTTGTTCGTAACAAAAAACAACATCACCAAATCAACAACAACAACAACAATGCAAACACGCTGGCAGAGTGACTTACAGATAGCAGTTGTTGTTGCCAACGAGATCAACATCCAGCTGGAGGAGGAGGTTGACAGGTTGAGGAATGAAAAAAAATTACTGCAGCAACAGACGCTAAGTAAACATTCCAACAACACCAACAACAACAATAACATTAACAACATCAACAACAGCAATGACATTAATGCCATCAACAACAAAATCAACGACATTAACTGTGCCAGCAGCTTGAAAACCAACATCAACGGTCACGATCCTAGCACGAAAACCACCACCAACAACAATAACAACAACAACAGCAACAACAACAAAAACATCAGCATTAATAACATTAAGATCATCGATTACAATGACATCAATACGGCAATAAAATACATTGACGACGACGATGATGATGACAATAATATTGATAAGAATAATAATAGTAGCGAAGAAGTGCCTATCTTATCCAACGCTAACAAGTAGTTTATCTTAACGCCGTTTTTCGTAATTTTATTATTACATTTTCATTACTTTATTATTATTATTATTAATATTATTATTATTATTATTATTATTATTACTACTACTACTAGTAGTAGTAGTAGTAGTAGTAGTAGTAGTAGTAGTAGTAGTAGTAGTAGCAGTAACAGTATTGATAGTAGTAGTAGTAGTAGTAGTAGTAGTAGTAGTAGTAGTAGTAGTAGTAGTAGTAGTAGTAGTAGTAGTAGCAGTACTAGTAGCAGCAGCTACAGCAGTAGTGGCAGTAGTAGTAGTAGCAGTACTACTAGTAGTAGCAGTACTAGTAGTAGCAGCAGCAGTAGTAGTAGTAGTTGCAGTTGTATTAGTATTATTAAGTGTCTTTCTGACGAGTTCATTTTTTGAGTTTAGTATCATTCTAGAGTGTGACTGATGTTGATGTTGTCTCGTTTCAACAGGGCATCGAAAACATCACCTCCATCGTCAACAACACCAACAAACTCTTCATCATCATCAGCTGTAGCAGCAAAAACAAAACCATCATTACCATCATCATCATCATCATCAACAACAGCGACATCATTATCAACATCGTGGCTAACGTCCACCCCGAAGCAAACGTCACAAAGATTGACATCTCATGAACCAATCACGTCGTTCCATTCGTCGCCCATCAAAAAACTGACCAATGGCAGTGCTTCTTTCACAATCGATTCCCCTTCTAAAAATACCTCGATAAATAGCAAAAGCAATAGTAATAACGCACCAATCATACAGCACAAAAACAGACATTTGAATTTGTCATCATCGTTATCATCACCGCCAGCCTCATCATCGTCATCGCCATCATCACACTCGGCCTATAATATGAAGAGCGATCCACTAATTGGATTGGTGAAGCAGTTAGGGGGGTCCAGACGGAATGCACTTTTAAACTGGTGCCAAAATAAACTTAGCTGTTACAATGTTCGTTGATTTTTGAAATTTATTTTTCTTTGTCACGTGTTTTTGACGGTTTTAATCATTGTTTTGTAGTTTATATATTAAATACTACTACTGCTAATACTACTACAACTCTACTGCTGTACTAATTACTACTACTGCAGCTACCATTATTACAACTGTACTAATACTATTGCAATTGCTGCTACTACTGCTGCTGCTTCTACTACTACAACCAAAAAGCAATTTATTTATTCAATTAAGGGTGTTGAGGTAACGAATTTTAGCAGCAGTTGGAACGATGGTCTGGCTCTGTGCGCTCTGCTGCACTCCTATGCTCCCAGCTGCATCAACTACGTACAACTGAAGTCTGCTAATGTGGTTAGTTAGTAGACTTCCGACTGGTGTCTGTCTGTCATTCATTCGTTCGTTCGTTTATCGTTCGTACGATCGTTCGTTCGTTCATTCATTTAATCAATCGATCAATCAATAAATCAATCAATCTATCTATCTATTAGCTAACTAATTGAGAATAAATTAATAAAGGAGTTTTGAATATGGACTGATTGACTGACTAGTTATAACTTTAATTAAAAGTATCTATAAATAATTTTTCCAGAAACAAAACTTTCAATTGGCATTCGAGGCAGCAGAAAAACTCGGCTTACATCTCGGCAACGATGACGTAATTATTATTATTTATTTATTGTTTAATTATAATGTAATTATAATAATAATTATTATCATCATTATTATGACAATAATTATTCTAGGTTCTGTCAGACTTAATAGCCACAGACAGACCAGCTTGGCAAATAGTGTACGGCTTGGTTATCAACATTTACAAGCACTTCGAAGTAGAGCCCGTTAATAATAATAATAATAACAATAATAATAATAACAATAAATAACAATAATAATTATAGTGATAAATAATAATAATGTTTTAAAGAGCTGAACATAAGTTAACGTTAAAACTATTGTCATTCGTCATACACACATGTATCTTTTAATTTATGTTATTATTGTTACATTACATATATATATACACTACATATATACGTTTCCTAATACTTACATACATGCAATATGTATATATGTGCGCATTTTAGATTATTTATTCATCTTGTTCATCCGATTTTATGCTATTAACAATTTAATAACAGATTATAGTATGTGTATGTGTGTTTGTTTGTCTGTGTGTGTGTTTGTGAGTGTGTACGTCTGTGCGTATTGTTATGGTTATTAGAAACGCGTTTTTGTTGATGTATTTGTTATTTTTAAGAGTGGAGGAGTGGTAGATTTTTGCCGTAGTCTGAATTTTTTTAAAGAGTTGAAGTCGGATGTTCGTCATCCGAATCAAGAAAGTGTTAAGAATTTGAAGTTCTTTTCATAATTTTTTATCTAAGAAATATTTGTTTAAGATAGTGCCATGTGTGTGTGTGTGTATGTGTGTGTGTGCGTGTGTGTGCCTAGTGATACCCAATCGTTCTTGATACCGAAATCATATGCTAATAGTGTGAACAAAATGACATGTATCAATTTTAAAATAAGTTTTAAACTATAAAGTAATTTTACTGAATGACTGATTTCAATTGTTTTTGGAAGTACCTTTCTTACGGTAGTGGTATTTAATAGAAGTTATAAAGCAAAAGTTGGAAAATCTGTCTAGGTATGAAATCTGGAAATTTTTACCTAGAATCGGATTTGGAAAATTTCCTCTCCAACTATGGCACCCTGGTTTTCAATGTGATATATATATATATATATATATATATATATATATATATATATATATATATATATGTATATTTTATTATCTTGTTATTCGTTTTAACCGGCTGTTTTTTGTGGCTATTTTATTTTCAAAGTATTCACTGTGTTTATTGTTGATTGACATTTAGGTTAACTACATTAACACTGTATTACAATGTAAGAACATTTATCACAACAACATTACAAGTTTTTCCGTATTCAAATTACATGAGAGATTACATACAATAGGTTGTTGTTAAAATTTTTTGATTATATATATATATATATATATATATATATATATATTATTTATTTGTTTTAACTTATAAAAATCATTGAACAATATTAATATTGTATTCTATATATTATATAAATAATTTTACGATTATGCAATTGACATCAACATATCTTCACATATCACGTACAATTATACATGTATGTGCATTAATATATTTTACTTATGCCATTTCATTCCAATAAATTGAATTGTGCGCGCGCGCGTGTGTGTGCGTGTGTATTATTGCATTATTTATTCCATATATTTTATTTGTTACCTATAAAGTTTAGTCAATGAATGCAATGAATGAATAAAATGTTAAGTCCCAACATAGGCATTCTCTTTTGGACATTTATTTATGAGTTAATACTAACGCTCTACACATGTGTAAAGAGAGACAGAAAGAAAGTGAGAGAGAGAGAGAGAGAGAGAAAGTGAGAGTAAAAGAAAAAGAAAGTGAGAAGGAGAGAGAGAGAGGGAAAAAGAAAGAGAGAGAGAGAATGTTTTTCAACATCCAAATTTTTAATATCAACATATAGCTAAATGCAGTAAGTGTTACACCATCCCATTGAATCTACATAGAAGAGGTCATACAAAACTACATAAATATTCATAATTTAAAACCATTTCAGAAAACGCTTAACTAGAGAAATATATTTAAATGAATAAATCAACCAAATCAAATCGACAGATCGGCAAGTTAACCACTCAAACGGTAAAAAAATGACATGTCTTGCATTGTCATTGCGCACTGCCCGGGTTCGATTCCATTCTGAGCAAAACTCACTTTAAGATTATCATACATGCCTGTAATGTAATGTCATGCTTGCATGTACATACAGTTGTGTGCAGTGTACGTATATGTGTGTGTATATGTACATTTCGTGATGTGTGCATACATATGCATGTATGTGTGTGTGTACATTTTGTGATATGGATGTTCCAGCTTAGACAAAAACGAATTTCAAGCAGCTTTGCATAAGTCATGGCTGCATAGTAGTAGAAAACGCAATAAAAAAATGTTTTAACCAAAAAATGCTAAAAAATTTAAAAAACACAATTAGTCATCCAATTAGTACCAAAAAAGTTTGTGAACACTCGTTTAACTTAAAAAATTGGAGAGAGAGAGAAAGAGAGAGAGAGAGAGAGGGTGAGAGAGAGAGAGAAAGATTAAGAATGAGAAAAAAAGATGAAACGAAAAAAAGAGATGAGAGAGGAAGAGAGAGAGAGAAATGATGCTAATACATTACACATTCCTAAAATTGAGAATCTTTCCAAACGATCAGCAAACATTTGATTGGACGAACAAAGCGACAAATAAGTAAAAAAAAGTTGCAAACTTAACAAATATATTTGAGAACCAAATATTAAACAAACAAACAAACAAACAAACGAACAAATAATTCTTCACCAGAGTTAAACATAAAAGTAATAACAACAAAAACATAACCTATCAAAAGAAAAATATACACTCATCTCAGTTAGACTTTCATTTAAATTTTCAAAAAGACCAATATATACAATTGAGAATATAAAACTTTAACTAATTAACTAATTAATTATGGCTAATCTGAATTATTGCACATCGATATCAATTAATTAGTTAGTTAATTAACTGAAGTTAATTAGATAAAATTAAATAAATTATTAATTAGATGAACGAATGAACGAAAGAACAAATGGATGGATGGAAGAATGAGTGAATAAACGAATGAATAAATGAACGAAGATAAGAAGTCAAATCAATGGTCCTTGAACATGTAAAGTTAGATATGTATAAATGTAAACACAATCACAAGACCATGATCACATCAAATTCAAAACGGGATGACAACAACATAACTTCATTAATATCAACAATAACATCAATATTTAAAAACAGCTTTGATTTTACGAAAAGTTTTTTGATTTCGAATTAAACACACACACACATACACGCACAGACACACACACACACGCACAGACACACACGCACGCACACACACACATATATCTAGCTATCGTACATATCTGCGACCAATTGTATCCAGAACGTTTCACATTATATGGAAAAAAAAGTATGCTTATTTGTGCATTTTCGAATCTACAATAATTGTAAAATAAATAAATAATAATAAATAATAATAATAAATAATAATAATAATAATAAATAATAATAATAATAAATAATAATAACAATAATAATAATAATAACAAGATACAAATAAACATTGACTAGTGAGATTGAAATCATAGATAGAAAATCGAAAGTGAAACTTAAAATTAACAAATTTGTGGAAACTTTCCTGTACAAACAATTGAACTCACGATAAATAAGATAGATTACTGTAGTAATAAACGACCACAAATAACTAAAATTCATTTAAATAAATCAAAGTAAAGTAAATGAGCGATTGAATGAATGAGTGAGTGAACAAACAACAAACGTATGAATGAATGAAAGAATGAATGAATGAATGAACGAATGAATGAATGAATGAATGAATGAACGAACGATTGAATGAATGAATGAATGAATGAATGAATGAATGAATGAATGAATGAATGAATGAATGAATGAATGAATGAATGAATGAACGAATGAATGAGTGAGTGAGTAAATGAATGAGTGAATGAACGAAAGAATGAGTGAGTGAGTAAATGAGTGAGTGAATGAACGAATGAACGAACAAACAAATGAAGAAAGGAATAATGAAATTTATTAATTAATGGACGACTCCAGAACACTTTTAGAGGAAGCATCATTGGCGATGACGTCATCGTCGTCGTCATCGGGATCGTTGATGGTGAATGTTTTTACGAGCGACGTTGTGGAAGTCGACTGCGACATCAGCTGGTTGTCGTCGTTGTTCTCTGTGTTGTTGCTGTTGTTGTTGTTGTTGATGTTTTTTAAAATGTTAGTTTCATTGTTGTTACTGCTGCTGTTGTTGTCTGGTTGTTGTTTACCATTAACCGTTCTCTGCTTATGCGAGTAAAGAGTTGATTGAGCGTCAACATTAAAAAGTTGCTGTGATGGTTTTGACCGTTCGTTCGTCGTCGTCGTCGCTGCTGTTGTTGTAACTGTGGTAGTCGTCGACACATTAATAATGTCATTCACGTTGATGTTGTTGTTGACGTCTCCTGGCACTAAAATCTCGGCGGACATGGGCAGCGAGGAAGACAAGGCCGAGGCGGATGACGTCATCATCTCTGGTGTCGTCATGCAGGTACTGCTGGCCTTCGAAAGTGGGTTTCGGTAATAATAGTTTGGGTTTTTCTTGAAGCTATTTATAGTTCCGTTGATGAACTGCTCTAACTTATCCACGCAAGCGTCTTGATAATCGTGTATCCATCTGTTGTGTATGTGTGTGTGTGCGTGTGTGTGTGTGTGTGTGTGTGTGCTTACAAATTTCTATTTTGGATGCAAACGAACGAACGAACAAACAAAGCAAACATAACTAAACGAAACGAGCAAACAAACAGACAGACGACGAACATCCACCTACCTGATTCCATTGAAGTACGAAATGTTCTTGATATCCTCAGGGAGTGACTCGGCGGATGGAAAGACGAAGTTGTCAATGACGGGGATTATGTTGCAACCGCCGTTCATTGCAGCCACTATCTCCTAATTGTTTTTTTTTGTTACAATCTCTCTGTCTGATTTCAAATCCCCAATTCAAACACACACACTCACACATAGACACACACAGACAGACACAAACACACACACTAACAGTGACACACAGGTATATACACACACAGACACAAACACAAACACACACAGAAACACCTACATACCCTATGTATCCAATCTTTACAATCGACATCCCCGATGCATCGATCGAGAGCGTTGGGAGTTAGTACAAGGATGAAATTCCTCGACGAATGAATGCTCGTGATCAGACTGTCGTCGAACTTTCCGGCAGGTAACTTCTCAATATCCAAAAACACTGAAAACCCTCTGAGTTGCAGGTGCACTTTTAGCAAACTGAATGGTTTTGGTTAGTTGGTTGGTTGGTTGGGTGGTTGGTAGGTAGGTAGGTTGGTTTAGTTGGTTGGTTGGTTAGTTAGCTATAAGTTTATTTCAATTTATATATATATTTATGTATTATAAGTGCATTGTTAACAAATGAATGAATGAATAAACGAATAAATAAAAGAAAGAATTAATGAATAAACGAGTGGATAAATGAATCCACGAATAAAAAAAAAAAAATTAATTAATTAAAAAAAACCACCATACCTAGCAAGCTGAGATCCATTTGACCTCCTATAACTGATGAAGACATCTAGCGACTTCTCAATGAGCCTGTAGTTGCCGTTGTTGTTGCTGCAGCTGTTCAAGTTGCTGTTGCTGCTGATGTTGTTTCTGTTGGGACTGAACACTGTGCTGGAATATTCTATTGTTTGTTTGTTTGTTTATGTGTTCGTTCGTTTGTCTGTTTGCTTGTTTGTTTAATATGCTGCGTTGTTGTTTCTGTCGTTACGATGTGTTAAAATGACGTTCAATGATTAAGTTACTGATATATTGTAGAAAAATAAACGAATGAACGATTGAATAAATGAATAAATGAGTTAACGAATGAATGAGTTAAAGAATGACCGAACGAACGAAAGAAAATAAAAAATTAAAAAAAAAAACAACGAAACACAGACTCTTAGCAGCTTCGAGAATTCTCAGCCTATGAACCCCATTAGTCACTCCGCAATCCTTCAACAAATTCTCTTCAGTCAGTGACCTCAGGATTGAACTTTCGACCCCTGACCTTGACATTTGATAGACGTACTGCCTATATTCCGGGCCTAGAGATTTCAGGAAGTCATCGATGGCCGAGATCACAATTTCAGATGAGTCGTAACTTGCCGTTTGTTTCAGTTTCGTCAACCCTCTGAGGAACCTGAAACAAAAAATTGAATAAAACAGCAAAGTTAATATTGAATTAGCAACCAAAGACACCATAAACAAGAGAATAAAATGAAATTAAATAACTTTTTTCTCTCAATGGCTCTCTCTATGCCGTAGTCGTTTTTTAAGTCTTCGTCGTTCAGTTGGAGGAAGAGGTCGATATCTATCTTATCTTGCTTGAACCGTTGTATCACTGAATCCTTAACATCATTCTAATTTCAAATGGAAATGCAAACATATTACAAGAGTACAACAACATTATTACATCAATATTATATCATTAGATTGTAACATTAGTATTTGTAATTGACGAAAGAGAGAGAGAGAGAGAGAGAGAGAGAGAGAGAGAGAGAGAGAGAGAGAGAGAGAGAGAGAGAGAGAGAGAGAGAGGACAATAATAATGAAAAAAAAGTAGAAAAGTAATAGTAACCTCAGTTAGCCAGACACAAATGTCATCAGTGTTCCATAGCATGATCTGTGGTGACAGAACCATGACCGGCTGCTCGCCTATTATCTCCAAAAATCTGGGTGGGTGAATATGGTGGTAATACTACTATAACTACTACTGCTGCAGCTATTATTACCACTACTACTACTACTACTACTACTACTACTACTACTACAACTAATCTTACTGCTGCTACAACTACTACTGCTACTGCTGCTAACAGAACGACTACAGCCACAACTACCAACGTAGCTAACTACTATTACTACTATATCCACTACAACTACAACTAATACTACTACCACTACTGCTGTTGCTTTATCTATTATTGCTACCATTTCCACTACAACTAATAATAATAATAATAGCAAACTTATTTGAGAATTTGGCTGGTAGCTTTATGTTACTCTTTGACAGCTCCTTCATTGTATCAATGATGTTCAACTCTTTGAAGATCTTCAAAAAATTATACGAAATAATGACTTAAATATTAAAAATATTAAAATAATAGTATCAATATTATTAAAAATCTATAACATATATATATCATATAAAATCTATAACATATTATAAACATAATTATATGGTATCAATAGGATTAAAGGCATCACCAAGTAACAGTAATTATGAATTAATAGCACAAAAGTTAAGAGGTGATGTTGCAGATCAGTGCCCACCTCTAATCTTCCCTGCCTATTCCTGATGGCCGCCTCCATTGCAAAATGAAACGTTACCAAACTCTGTACTTCCACTCTTTTGCTTCTCAACAATGGTACTAATCTAAAAGATTGAAATTGAAAAAAAATTAATAAATGGAAAATAAAGTTTTGTGCAAGTACTGAAATTAGTGGTTGCTTGTATTAATAAAATTATCATTTTGAACTGAATTAATATGGTTTATATTAGTACTTCAATTTACGATACAATTAAACAATGGCAATGATGTAACTCTAATAAAATATTTATCCAATATATATACTGGTAAGAATTGATAGTTCACATTGTACTGATAAACATCTGGTACATGCATTGTAGTATTTTAGCATGACTGGAAACATTATTCTATAATGAAAGTGGTCGCTATACTGGCATATTTAGCCAAGTTAACCAAACAAAATATATGGGAAACAGCAAAATTATAATGAAAGAAACAGAGAAATAAACACCTGGCCAACCAGTCGACGGCATGTCCGTGCATGTGAGCCCTGTCACTGGTGCCAAATTCTACCGGGTCTCTAATTCTAACAAAGGGTTCAACCAAATGCAGAGTCCCCGACTTGGCCACCGCAACTTCCAGAGATTTATTGGCCCCCAGAGCAGCAATTGCCAAAAAAGCATAATACTTGACGCCATCATCTTCTGAAAACGCCAGTGGAAATAACCATTCAGGTGCGTTCTTTGTGATCATGGACTGCTGACAGCTGTCGTCTCCGTAGAGAGCCAGATTTGCAAGGGCAACAGCACAGGGTCTCAGTACTGACACATCAAAATATCTACAGGCGTACAAAACGGCATCCAACCCACCGCAGTTTATCAGCTTCGTGCAGGTCTCCTCGGTGTGTTTGAACAAGCACTCCAATATTCCCAACACAGCTCTGGTCACATCGGGGTCATCACGATAACGGTCTGCCACAGAGATAATAATGTCAAGGCCATTTTTATAATTAGCAACATACTTTCTGTTTGGAACTGTCATACTTTGAGCTAGTACACTGGCTGCATTTAATAAGATGTCCCTTTCTGGAACATCATCTTCATGTTCTGATTGAGCTGGATCTGACAGTGGTGACTGTGGAGTCTGTCTGTCTTTCTTCATAATTTCTTCTAATTCGCTGTCAAAACTTTTACCTCCATACCATTCATGTTTGCCTAATTTCAGTTTGCTTTTATCTGACTTTTCCTTTGTTTCCTTTTCACTGTCGTATCCAGCTTGAGCTTCTTGCTTCTCTGGCGATAAAAATGTCAGTAATAGGTCAATGCCATTACAGTTCCTCAAAACATCACACAACTTGTATGCGAGATCCCTGCCTATTGAAGGAAGTGACCATGCCCTGTCTATTGAAGCCAACATGTCTGACAGTATTTTCAACTTTTCCTTCTTTGATTTTGACGTTGCAAGTTGTTTGATGCTCTTCTCCAGGAGAGGCTCTGCCTTCTCTAAATTGGTTTTCAAGAGATCTCTTTTAGCCTTTTTGGCAATTTCTTCATTTTCGTTGAACTTGTAGTTTTTCAAAGACAAAAAATGTCGTCTATGTTTGCTGGGCAGAGTAGCTCGTTCGCCAGCTGATGGGAAGGAATGCCAGTTTGATTTTGAATGCATACCTCGACTGCTAACAGCTTTTTGGTCTTCATTTCTGAGACCATGCAGGAGTGCATCGTTGCTAACTTCATTGATGGTGCTGTTGAAAGCAGTTGTGCAAACGGAAGATGAAGAAATCTTGCTTCTGCTGCCAACTCCTCCGCCAAGCAAGGAACTCTCCAACGAAGTGCACCTCAAAACTTTGTGGGATGACGACGTTGACGACGAAGTAGAAATTCTTGTTTCGATTTGATTATTAATCGTTTGATTTTCATCCATTACAACTTTAAAGTTTCATCGGATAAATTTATATTATAATATTCCTAATTTATGTTTCAGATCTCGCTTTTAAAAATTTGTAATTAATTTTGTTATTTGCTCTTAGGGACGGCCTATATTGTTTAGTTGCTGTAGCACATTACAAGTGTTTTAGCTCAGATTTAAAGACAATCATTTATTAGTATAAATTTTTTATAATAAAAAACATTAACAGATTTTTATACATATAACCTTATTTTTAAATTTAACAAATTTTAGCATTACTTCAAGAAAAAGCTATTTTAACTTGAAACCTTTAAAAATTTGACCACTTCCAATGCTAAACATCAAGCTAGAGTGTAATGCTCGGGGTCAGTTTATAGTTCACATAACAACCAGGTAGGTATTGACTGTATGGTTTGTTTTTCAAATTATTCAGTTCAGTCGAATGTTGGCATTCTTTCATTGTTTCTAACGTAATGATTCTACTTTTTAATTTCATGTCATTTGGTCTAATTTGTGTGTCAAGGTGTCTGTTTGATTATTTTTTATTTTAAACATTCATGCGCATGGTATCTCTTCTTTTCCAATTAATTACATTACATGTATGATCTATGGATGAATTGTTAATTTATTTTATTATTATTCTATTACCATTCTATCATCTACTCTACTAACTTTATCTGAAAAAGTTTGTCGTCACTTTTAAGAATATCATAAATAAATTATAAAATGTATAATATATTATTTTGTGTTGTAATAACCAAATTTTTTAGTTCCTGGTTAAACAAAATTGAAAAAAATTCTAACTGAATCACACCAGAGATCATAAACAGTCTGGTTCCATTTTTAAGATTTAAAGATGAGCATAATACTGGACATTGCCAATTACTTTGTGGAGCATCCCATTCTGATGGTGCTGATGTTTCTCATCTACCTAATCCTATTTGGAATTTCCGTGGTTCTCTTTGGTCAGGCACCAAAACCTAACTCCAACCCTTTTTGTTTTGATGCCACTAAAAGACCAGAGCCTCTTGTCATCAGTCAAGCCGAGAGAAATAAAGTTCTTAAGCAAGGTAGTGATTGATTGATTGCTATTTTTATACAGTATATAATTAAAATTATTATATTATTAATTATATTATTAACATTATGTAACTGATATACAATAATATTATTTTTTTTATTGTATTTGATACTTATATTGTACTCTAAATAAAGTTTTGTTTGAAAAATTTACAAATTTCACAAATTTTATTTTGATAAAACAGGTTTTTCTGAGAAAAACATCCCTGACAATATAGACGCCATAATAATTGGCAGTGGCATTGGGGCTCTTACCACGGGGGCCCTCCTCTCAAAAGTTGGAAAGAGGGTGCTGGTCCTAGAGCAGCACGATCAGGCCGGAGGCTGTTGCCACACTTTTATTGAGAAAGAATTTGAATTTGATGTTGGTCAGTTGTGGCATACAGTGCCTACGTTAATTATTATCAACAGTTAACATGTCGATATGAACAGTTTTTAAAAATTAATTATAGTTATTATAATTTGATCAGGGATACACTATGTAGGTGAGATGAAGAGTAGAACGATAGTGAAGTTCCTCTTAGATCAGGTCTCCCAGGGTCAGATAGTTTGGGACCACCTAGATTCAGATTTTGATATGGTGCTGTTCGTTTTTTTTTCAACGTTTTTTACGGTTTTCGTAAATATAAATTCAATTAAATTTTATAAATTTGAGAGAATATTAAATGGAAATTATAGATAACAAACAGTTTTCTTTCTTAAAAGGTTGTTTTGTCAAATAAAATGGACCCAGAGAAGACAAAATTCATTCCAATTAGAGGAATGGGATATGGTCCGTTTAAAAAGAAGCTTCTGGAATATTTTCCTGACGAAGAGGAGGCGCTAGATAAATACATCCAACTGTTGAAGGTTACCTTATATTATTTATATTTTTTTGAGTTAATATGTGATAATAATTAATTTTGAAAAAGTTGAGGGTATATGTGTACGACGATATCATCTAGAGGTTGAAGTTTTTCAAATTTTTGTGTCAACTTTTGTCACACCTCAGTCTAGCAGAAGCATCTCCAGAAGTTTAGTGTACTATAAAATCTTTCCAAAGTGGCTGGTGAAGATTTTAGTTTGGACCAGGCTGATGAGTCTGATATCATCGTACCATAAGTATGCCTCGAAGACAGTTGCTGATGTTCTGCATGGATTAACGAAAAATGTCGAACTGAAGACGGTGCTGAGTTATAATTTTTTTGATTACGGTTAGTTGGTGTGTGGTGTGTCGTTATGTTCGGTGTAGAGTTTGGTGTTCGCGGGGTTGTTGTGTTTTGGATGTTTGATTGACTGGTTTGGCTGGTTAAGTTAAGAAAAAGTTTAGTGTGGTTGTTTGATTGACTGGTTGGGTGGTTGACTGGCGGAAGTTGTTTGAGATTAAATAATTTTTAAATTCAATCCTTAATTCATTTAATCACTCGATCTAACGTACACACACACACACACACACACACACACACACACACACACACACACACACACACACACACACACACGTACGACACCCAGGTGTGGAGCCAACGCGTTCCAGTTTCGCGATACACAGTGCCCTGATGAACCACTTCATCAATGGCGGCTCCTATCCCAGAGGTGGCTCCAGTGAGATTGCCTTTCACATCATACCTGTCATCGAAAAATCTGGTGGAAGTGTTCTTGTCAGGGCGAAAGTTAGCGAAATTCTGGTTGAAGATGGCGCTGTCGTTGGTTAGCTCTCCATTTCATGTTTTATTTGGCTTTTATTTGGCTAGCGTTTATTCACATTGTAGTTTGGATCTATTGAAAAACAAATACGCCACACACACACACACACACACACACACACACACACACACACACACACACACGCCACACATAACATATTTTAATAGATCTAAAACAATAAAAATGAGCCAGCAGGAATATTTGTAATGAAACTTTTTCCACTTACAATTTAAAAATTTATTTTTGATATATACAAATCGTACTCTGGCAGGCGTCAGAGTAAGAAGAGCAGGTGGCGGGCATGTCGACATAGCATCGAATGTCGTAATCTCGGACGCGGGCGTCGTGAACACGTTCGCAAAGATGCTGCCAGAGACAATAGCTGAAAAAACAAGTTTGACTTTGTCTTTGCTACGAACGCGCGTTACATACACACGTACTCACACACACACACACATACACACACACACACACACACACACACGTACTCACTCACACACATATACACACATACACACACACACACGCCACACATACACACACACACATACACATACACACACAGGCATATACAAAATAATAAAGAACAGTCAAGTTGAGCCTGGAACGTTATCGTGCATGTCTTTGTTTGTCGGTCTCAATGGTACAGCTGAAGAACTCAAACTACCTAACTACAATATCTGGTGTTTTAATTGGTTGGTTGGTTGATTGACTGATTGATAGTTTATTTTTTATTCTTTTATTCGTCTTTCTTTCGTTTATTCATTCATCCATTTAATGATTTCTTCCGTCATTTATCTGTTCGTTTGATGATTGGCCGTGTGGTTGTATGAAAAAGTAGATTAATTGAGTGATCAAAAAAGCATGTTGATCGATTGATTGATTGATCAATTGATTGATTGATTGATCGATCGATTTTATTGATTGATCGATCGATCGATTGATCGATCGATCGATCGATTGATTGATTGATTGATTGATTGATGTTATTCAGCACTGACGCATGTAAAGCCATCACTGACTACGCCAAATTAACGTTGGATGAGGCACTGAACAGTGACATCCCATTCGCGTTCATCGTGTCTCCATCTGCCAAGGATAGCTCATATCAATTGAGACATCCTGGTTGGTTGGTCGAGTGATTGATCGATTGATTGATAAGTTGACTGATTGAGCAAACAAACGAATGAATGAATGAATGAATGAATGGTTACTTGATTGAATGAATGAGTCAATGAGTGATTAAATTATTAAATGTTTAATTGGTTGAGTGAATGATTCTTTCATCTAATGGATCAATGATTGGTTGAATAATTAAATGTTTAATTGAATGAATGAATGATTCATTCATTCATTCACTCATTCATCCAGGCAAATCCACCCTAACTATAATATCGACCTGTATGTGGGATTGGTTCAAGGATTGGGATAAAGAGAGAGTGAAGAAGAGAGGGAGCGAGTATGAGGATATCAAAAAACAGTTTATGGATAAAATGTGGGCCATTGTCTTGAAGTTTTACCCACATTTAGAGGATAAGGTATCCCAATCAATCCATCCATCTATCTATGCATTTGTATATCAATCAATCAATCAATCAATCAATCAATCAATCAATCAATCAATCAATCAATCAATCAATCAATCAATCGATTGATCAATCAATCAATCATTTATTCATTCATTCGTTCAATCGTTCATTCGTTGGCAGGTTGAATACATGGACCTGGGGACGTCTGTGACGAACAACTTCTACCTCGGGACGGTGGTTGGAGAGGTGTACGCACTGGACCACACCATCAGGAGGTTCAACGACCAGGAAGTTCTCATGCATCTGAGGCCTCAAACTGATATCAAGGGATTGTTTCTTACTGGTTAGTTGACCGCTTGACTGGCTTGTTTTGATTGGCCGGTTAGTTGGCTGGCTGGTTTTGATTGGTCGAATAGTTGGCTGGCTGATTTTGATTGGTTGGATGGTTGGCTAACTGGTTTTAATTTGCTGATTGATTGGCTAGTTTCGATTAGATGAATACGGTTTTGAACGTTGATTGGTCTGCTGGTTACTCGCTTATTCAAATTTATATTACAATTCATAATTTAATTTGTTACATAATTTATAATGCAATTCATAATTCAGGTCAGGACACAATATGCTGCGGTTTTGTGACGGGCTTGTACTCGGGTCTGCTCACTGCATCGGCTGTCCTCAAGAGGAATCTCTTCAGAGATATGCTGGCTCTCTTGAAGAAAGTTAACGAGAAAGATAAATTGTATACAAAATCTAAATAATAAAATTATGATCATAATATAATAAAAATGGTAATAATGTGATAATTAATAATTGTTATAATTAATTGTTAGTGGTAAATAATATATTATATATTTATATTATATATATATGTTAAATAATATATGGTAATAATGGTGGTAACAAAGTAAACATTTTCTTGTGATAAATATTAATTTGTTAATGAAAACGCCATAATAATAATAATAATAACTATTTATTTGTTTGTTATTCCTGCAAAATAAAATACAAAAATGTTTCGATTTAATGGTTGTTGTGCTAGTTGAATGTTATTGCTATTTCAAATCACTAACTTTTCACTAACTACATTACAAACGTTACTCAATTTATAAGTATTCCCATGGTAGTATTTTTGAAAGTAGTAGTTGTTAGTATCTACGACCTATTATACTAGTATTCTTAATACCATGCTAGTAGTATATCTGGACTCCCGCTTTGATCAATTTGTACATCTGATTTGTTAAACTGCCAAAATAAAATATTCATGTGATCGATAATAATGTAAAGTACTGTGGTGAATTGTATTGAGAAGTGGAGTGTACTGATGTGTTGCTTCGTACTTAAGTTCGATTGAATCAACAAGATAATTGCGATTGGCACGTACCCTTGCGATTGGCACGTACCCTCCGATGGTTTTTTCATCAAGTAGGATATTGTTAAATAACTTTGATATAATGAGTCTTGTTACTAATATAAAAATATTAATGATACTAGTAACTGTGTGGTAGTAGCAGTAGTGGTTGTGGTAACAGCAATAGAAGTAGCAGCAGAAGCCACAGCAGTCAGTAGCAATTGTGCTAGAGGTTATATAAAATGCACCTAGCTTATTCATGAATATGGTAATAAAGAAAATGAAGGGGATGACGAGGAAGAGAGGTTGTTTACAAAGCGCGATTACGTAATATAAAGTTTACATTAACAAAACGCGCCATCGTTTTTTGTTAACTATTACGTCATGATTTAATTAAAAAAAGTTCAGAGAAAAAATCAAGCAAAGCAATAACGAAGACCAAATCGTAATAGAAAATAAAAAACTTAATTGGCAGAACGTACGGGTAGAAATAATATTAAACTTTAAATAACAATCACTCGAGTTCAAACGAACTCATTGAAATTCGGCGTTTCGTTCGAAAATTCTGGTTAACTATCGGAGAGGAACGATAATTTGGCTATCTACCATCGTCGAAACAAACGAACATCCAGCCGATCGATCGAACCCATCCTAGCCGAAGCTAGCTGACCTTCATATACACATCTCTCCAAATTCTCATTAAAGAAAAGAGAAAAATCAAGAAATAAAAATGGCGGACGAATGTGGAATGAACACCCTCTACACTCAACTGGATGACGAAAGGAAATGCCTTATCAGCTTAGACAAGGTTCGTTCATTTTACAAGTAGGTAGAAATGAACCTAATATGTTGAGACAAATTTAATCAGTACGAACAAACTTAACAAGTAGAAAACGAACGAGCTTAACAAGTACAAAAAGAACGAGTTTAATTAATAATCACATGTTCGCTATTTGCATGATGAACTGAACATAAGCAGACTTTTAAACAGGAAGATAAGCGAGTATGTCTAGTTTAGGTTATGACTAAATTGATGAATTTCGTTTATTAAAAATTAATAAACGACTCAGAAAAATAATGAAATCCATTTTATAATAGAAAAGAAAGGAACTGTGCCGATAATTTTTAGCTGAAATTTGGATTTTAGCGAAATCGCAGTTCTTTCATCGTTAACATTGTTTGCACGCAATAAAATTGTCAGCGGAACATATCACAGGCATTTACATTGCCATTGCAATTTTTTAAAACCAATCACCAAGTTATCGGGTTCGAAAGCAAGCTGTTGATACGAAGTTTCTTGCCACATCAGAGTGTAACATTATAACAGAAGACCGATGCAATTAAGTGGTCTCCTGTCTTTGCATTTCATGAAATACAAGTTTAATAAACTGAAAATTTTATAAATTTACTTTTAAAAATAATTTGTTAAAATTTAAAAATAATTTTTTTCAAATTTCAACACCAAGGAACTTTGCTACCAGAAGTCGAGAGTGAGAGATTGTGAAGACATCTTAGTGGTCAGTTCCATTGCTCTTCCCACAATTTCGATTTTCCATTTCTTTGGCCTTTAATTTTTGACCAATTCCGTGTTTTAGATTATTGTGCTTAATTAGTGTCTAGCAGATGTCTTGCGAACGAATTTTTCAAAAGCGAAATGGTCTAATTAGAATCCACATTTTAGAACTTGGAGTTTAAAAAAGTTTCAAGTCAAAGTGCAAAGGCCAAATCATTGCAACAAATTAACAAACATGTGTTGAAAGCCGAGCGCATTTGTGAATAAAAATTGCATCCACAACATGCACCCACTTCAAAACTTGAATGCACGGGCAAGCATAACACCATCTAAATAAACAATCCATAAATTTTAACCTACATAAATCATGCGCAATGCAGAAATGCCTGCCATCAGTTAACGGTATCTTCAGTGTCATCCAATATAAATCACTTTATGCAATTGTTGTGAGCGCGAGGCACATTTAACCGCTACATGTTCGTGTTTATGAAACAACTTATTGCATCATCAAACTGATTAGGTGGTCAAAAACATCAACACACTAATCGGAGTTTAAATATTCACCTCTGTTAAATGTTCCTATGAAGAGTGTTAAAGACCTTTCACCTTTTAACCTTTAACCTTTCCCACTGCAACAACAAACAGCTGCTACAAAACGAGATCGAGTGCAAGAACCGACAGTTCAACGACGTGGATAACGTGAAGGTTGACCTTGTGAAGGCCACCCAGTGCCTCAGGAGCGAGAATCAGAAGCTCATGAAGCTGCTTGCCGTCCTCACTGCTGACCTCAACAATTTATTAAGGCTCGCAAGCGCTATGGCTGAGAAGGTTTTCTTTATTTTTTAGATATTTTTTTGATTTTCTGTTTGTCGTTTCTTCAAACTTTTGGTCCGTTTTCGCGGTTTTTATTTTATTTTTTTTATATATAAATCTTGTTCCTATCCTGATTAAAATAAATTAATAACATTCTTATAGTCTACCTCTGTCAGCAATTTCTCTTCCGTAGAAATTCAGATGGAAATTTTTGAAATTAAAAACAATGCAATAAACGATGGGCATATTTTCACGAATCTTTTGTAAAAATTTTTCTACCAGGCAAACGTCGGCGATAGATGCAAGACACGCTTTTAAACCGCAGCTGCCGCCGCCGCCATTAGCAACGACATCGACGACACCACCGTTGAGAATGACAACAACTACATGAAGCGAACTTTTTAAATAAAAATAAAAAAAAAATTGTCTTAAAAAACGCTCGAAAAACAACGTCTGAGAACGGAGTAGACTACTGATTGATAGTTAATCGATTGCATCCAATTTCTATTATTTAAATACAAAAAGGTTTTAACATGTTCATCGCCTGCAATGTACTCTCATATTTCCATTATTACTTTTACAACTTTTCCTACTACTGCTTGTTTGACCTGTTTTACAACTACTGCAGCTACTGACTGCTGTTACTGCTGTTGCTGCTACTACCATTTCTAAATTTGCATCGTGAAATATTTGGCTACATTTTGCACTACTCCTGCTAAAGTTACTACTGCGCTACTACTACTGCTGCTGCTTTTGCTGCAGCTACTACCACTACTACTGCTGCTACTACTTCTACAAATGCTGTTACTACTGCCAATGTTACTTATATGTAGAACTAGTAGCACTACTCTGCACTTAAAACAATTTCCCCCGATTGCTTGTCTGCAAATAAAATTTTCGTTTATTCAGTAAATAAAATAAATTCATTTATTTGGCGTTTGTACTTGCTAGAAAAATATTTTTATAAATTTTATAAATAATTATAATAATAGCGGTAGAAGTAGTAAAAATACTAGCAATAATAATAAAAAAAGACAAGCATTGATAACCGTTGATACAATCAATCCGATCATAAATACTGCAGCGGTATTAGTATTACTACCAGCAGCAGTAGTAGCAGCAGCAGTAGTAATTAACTAGTAGTCAATCGAACCAATGAATGTTAAATAACCACCAGCAAGCTGAATGCTTTAATCAAGGAAGTGTACACGTATAAATCATTTTTATCTATTTAGAGTTTTTTTACTTTTATTAATTTTTATTTATTGGTATATTTATAAAAAATTTTTATCAATTTCTTTAGAGATTGATTGAAATATCCTCTTTAACTCAACAAAAGCAGATGTGTGTTGCTATATCCATTGGTTCATTTAATTTGTAATTCTCAATAATAATAAGCCAGTTCATTGAGTGATTTCAACCAGAATACGCTAGCATAGTGGTACATATAATAGATCGTTAATATACAAAATGCAATACCAGAAATACAATACCAGAAATACAATACCAGATATAAAATACCAAAAATATAATACCAGAAATACAATACCAGATATACAATACCAGATATACAATACCAAAAATACAATACCAGAAATACAATTCCAGAAATACAATCAATAAATTATGAAATGTACAATAACCTCAAGTGCTGTACCATATCCAAAAAACTATACCCCGCAATACAATTTGATGTAATTCCATTCTGTAGTTGGCTATCAAGATATATCGTGAATATAAGCATAATACCGGTTAATGCTGGCAAGACGACACGTGTGCATTTTACAACAGCTGTTACATCAATAACGAAAATGACATTAACAACAATCACGACAACATTTCGATCGACATCAATTTGATCAATTTGATCAACAGCCAAACCGCGTCTGATAAGTCTTCCGAACAACTGGCTAACAACAACAAAAGCAAATTGATACATCCATTTAAAGATGTTGTTAATGCTGTTGGTGTTGTTTAGGAAGGATTTATTGATTATGGTTATAATTGTTGTTGTTGTTGCCGTCGTTATGTTAGTTAATGTAACTTTGTTGATGTTATAAATGCTTTTTAGGTCGTCTTCTTAGAACAGCATTGTGCCAATATTCACGAAATAAATGATAGTTTCCAATATTATTAATCGTTAGACGTTGTTTTCGTATAAGTATGAAAATAATTAAACAAATAATTTATTTTAAAATAAAATAATTACCAAGCTTTATATTGATGGCTTTAGTAATAAAAATGAAGAAAAATAAAAAACACATCCATTCAAAAACAGCTTAAATTAATTCTGTTAATATTAAAAACTAATTATCGATAATTGTTAGAACGAACTGGCACAGGCAAGCGCGCGCACACACACAAACACACACACGCACGCACACACATATAAAAACACAAAAACAAACATTAATTTAACACTGTAAAATAATATCCCCATGCAATTAGTAAAAAAATTAAAAGAAGCTAACAGAACAAATATCTCCCTCGTCTTTCTTTCTTTCGTTTTCTTTCCTGTTTTGTCCGTCCATCATTATAAATGACGTCACCGTGATCACCATTTAACTATGAAAAACTGGCATGGTACTCTGAACCGAGACACATATTTATAGTCGACACTTAATTATTCAATTAAATTTCAATTAAATAAATAAATTAATTACGTAATAGTTCGATCAAGCAAATCATCATCACCATCAATATCATCTTCTGTTTTCATGACTTTGATCATCATCATCATCGTTGTCACCATCATCATCATCATCGTTGTCACCATCATCATCATCATCGTCACCATCGTCACCATCATCATCATCATCGTCACCATCGTCACCATCATCATCATCATCGTCACCATCGTCACCATCATCATCATCATCGTCACCATCGTCACCATCATCATCATCATCGTCACCATCGTCACCATCATCATCATCATCGTCACCATCGTCACCATCATCGTCACCCTCGACATTTTTTTACTTGCACCAAAAGCGGATGTAACTAACAGCTAAACTGAAGATTTATGGCTAATTATCTATGTTTTACTACACACACAAGCAAGCACATACACACGTGCACACACACACGTGCACACACACACATACATATATATACATATACACACGCATATACACATACATGCAAACATGCACGCATACACAAAATACAAGCAAGGATTGTGCAAGGCAAACAAATAAAAATCGATGAATATGACAACGGCACTCAGCGGGCCAAACAACTATTTTAAAAAAGATACACGTGTTCAGATAAAAAAAAACATACACATATACAATGCACGCATACATAGACACGTACACACACATACATACAGTGTCACTCATCATGTTTTGGTTTTAACATACATACATACATACATACATACATACATACATACATACATACATACATACATACATACATACATACATACATACATACATACATACATACATACATACATACATACATACATACATACATACATACATACATACATACATACATACATACATACATACATACATACATACATACATACATACATACATACATACATACATACATACATACATACATACATACATACATACATACATACATACATACATACATACATACATACATACATACATACATACATACATACATACATACATACATACATACATACATACATACATACATACATACATACATACATACATACATACACACGAATGCCGAATGCCTACATGTGCAATTAACGACAAATCAAAGTGTTAATCCATTTGTTACTTGATGTTTGACGGTTCAGTGTCACCCATCATGTTTTGGTTTTAACATACATACACACGTACACACACATCCATATAGACACATATGCACAGGTACATATACCTGTACGCAAACAACTGTTAAGACATACTCACTCATGCATATATACACACACACTTATTTATAAATACTTATAAATACGTGCACACACACATACATACATACATACACTCATATACGTATAAAATACAAATGAAACAAAATATGTGCCCACCCACACACACACACAAACTAACATGCAAAAAATCAATTGTACATACAAATAGTTGTATGTACATAAGGACATATGTTTGGCGAGATTTTGTATGTTTGCCAACACACACAGACATATCATACAATGTCACACACACATACACACGCACACACAAATAAACACACACGCACACACAAATAAACACACACACACGCACAAATAAACACACACACACACCTATGTGTGTAAGTCGATGTTTTTTTTCCTATTATTCACTATTTCGCTTTTACGCCCGGTCTTAACGATTCAATCGTTTCTTGTCTATAAGAAAATAACTCGCGGGATGAAAATGATGTTGAAGGTGATGTCTTTGTTGATGCTGATGATGATTATGATGATTATTATTATTATTATTATTATTATTATTATGGTGACGATGATGATGATTATGATATTATCATACAACGAAAAAATACAATGCGTAATACATAAATACACAAATCCAAATACAAATATATACAAAGAATAAACAAAACAAAATTCGCCCTACGGTCCGCAAGGTCAGACGAGATAGCATTAATCACTAACTTTATCTGAAAGGACATATGTGGTGATGATTATGATGATGATGATGAAGAAACGATGATGATGACGAAACTATGGTGATGATGATGATGACGAAACTATGGTGATGATAATGATGAAACTATGGTGATAATGATGATGATGACGAAACTATGGTGATGATGATGATGATGATTATGATGAAACTATGATAATGATGATGATGAAACCATGATGATGATGATGGTGATAATGACGACGATGATGGTGACGACGACGATGACGTTAAACTAGATGTAATGTAACAGTAATGATTAAGATTTAATGGCTGGTGACTTGCAATACAGATATACAAATAGGCATGGAATCATTGATATAGTTGAAAAGGAGACTAAACTGATGTATCATCAGATAACAAGATAACAAGACGATAACAATGTTTATCGTAACGACAAAAAAGGTTAAAGTCATTTCCTCATACCGCGATTGTTTCAAAAGCATCAGAGAAACACACACACACGTACACACACACGTACACACGCACGCACGTACACACGCACGCACGTACACACACACGCACGTACACACACAAGTACAATGAAGAAGAAGACGATGACGGTGATGACGATCAAGCTGATAGTGTGCCCAACTGCTGAGAGCAATCATCGTAATCATCACTATTTCCTCGTCATCATCGCCATCATCATCATCATCACAAATTTTATTGATCGTATCATCATCATCAACAACAACATCATCATCAACAACATCATCATCATCAACAACAACATCATCATCATCAACAACAACATCATCATCATCATCAACAACATCATCATCAAGAGAACGTACTATACACTAGATAACCTTTATTGTATAAACAACAGACAGCACAGAAAATATGCACTTTCATCACCGTCACCATCATCATCATAATCATCATCACCACCATCATCACCATCATCACAATCACCCCATCATCATAATCCTCACCACCACCATCATTATCATCACCACCACCATCATCATAACCATCATCAATAATCTCAGTAACATCGTAAACAACGTTATATCAATGCATAACGCATTATCATCACTACCTAATATCAAAGCATCATCATCATCAAAACACAACCACCATAACAAGGATCACCATCCCATCATCATCATCATCATCCCATCATCCCATCATCATCATCACCATCCCATTACCATCATCATCATCGCCATCCTATCATCATCACCATCAAATCATCATCATCACCATCTTATTACCACCACCACCATCATCGTCGTCATCATCACGTCTCCTCATCTTTCCACAATCATTCCATTGTTATGTCATCCCGAGTTATAATAACCACATTTGCATGAGGATGGAGTAAGACATTAATAATAATCAAAAAAAACCGCATTTCAAAAATAACAATAATAACAATAATTATAATAAAAACAATAATAATAATAATAAATCATCAACAAAACCATTGTTACACGGACATTCCATCCATCAGCGTCGTCGTCTTCATCACCGGCTCGATGAAATACACGTTACGTAAGGCCATGGACGTCTCGATATATCTGGACTGCAAGGCGAACGTTTCACGGTTTTCAACTCTGACCATATTAGGCTATTGCATTTATAATATATTACATAAATATTAGATATATATTATATAGTTTATAGGTTGATATTAAACTACTGGAATTCATAGATGCAAGCAGCATGTTAAATTTCTTTGTTAATCTTTTTTTACTTCCTTTAATTTTCCTTATTCGTTCCGATCGTGCATGCCAATATATTCTTTTTGATTGTTGCTATTTTCCAATGTTTTAATTTTATTTTGGTGATAAAATCGTGTAAAATAGGTATTATAACAAAGTTAAATCATTTTTTAATTATTTTAAAAATTTCCGTAACATCTTAAATTTGGAGCAATATAATTTTTACTTTTGCTAAAAGTGCAATTTCGATTATTATTACTTCACAGTCGGTTAGTTAGTTAGGAGTTATTTAAAGAACATTTATTTTAGATTTAATTTTTATATATATTGGTTTATTTTCTTAAATTAAATTTACACAAAACTATTTCTGGATTAAAAAGTTGAAGATGAATGAATTTATTAAACAACAATTTATTTATTGATCTGTACCCACACTTCTAATATTGGTTATTATTTGATTTATGTTTTTTTGCATAAATAAATAACATTTTAATTTTTAAGGTATTAAGAATAAGATAAGTAAAGTAAATTTTGCTTAAAACTTTTGATTACTAAAATTAATATGTATATTTAAGGAATATTTTATTAGTCTATTTCTCCTTTGATGTCCATTTTATTATCACAAAAAAAATGAGGTTGAGCATTTTTTTTATGAATGAATGAAAATGATGCTCTACCTGTAAACCTGTTTAAGTTTAAATGCAGTAGTGGACTTGCCGCTATCTTTTTTCTTTTGGATTTCTAGTTTTAACATCATAACCAGGGCGACTTGAGAATATAATATATTAAATTTTACATTTATTCAAGATTTATATTAAATATGATTTTAAACTAACATTACAATTACAGTAAACTACTACCTAAAATGGTGAACAAGTGTGCTGCCTATGGTTGCAAAAGTGGATACAAATCAAATGCTGCGATAGATGCTGAAAACAAAGTGTCTTTTCATTCCTACCCAGTCAATGATCCTGAACTTTGTGCAAAGTGGAATAAGGCAAATCCACGAAGGGATTTTATTCCAAGCAGACATTCAAAGATGTGCTCTTTGCATTTTCGACCTTCGGATTTTGTTGATAAATATTCTGATACAAATTCAACAAGATATAAAAACAAAACAAGCAATAGTGAGTCCAGAATCAAGCAAGAATTAAAGCCTGGAACAATTCCAACAATATTTAATGCACCATCATATGCATCAACAATCGAGCATCTACCTACCTACAACAAATTCATCTGCTGCGTGTGGTCGAGAAGGTGAAATAAAAAGAATGAATGAACTTGAAAATGAATTCAACAAAAGTGATCAGATAATAAATTTGAGTTTAGAAGAAATTCTAGATCGTTTAAAAAAGGAAACATCTGCTCCAAGTGGATACCAATATCAAATCTTCGAAAACAGTTTGGTATTGTATGAAATAGATTTTGACAACTGTTGCCCTCATATCAAATCATCTATCACCATAGATGAACAAAAAAATATATCCCTGTTTAACAAAGGTCGAGAAGTTTCAAAATCATTTGTTGAAGGCATCATCAACAAAAAAGTTGAATGTTTTAAAGAAGCAATATGTCACCATCATTGGAATTTCGCTAGATAATGCTGCTGTAAACAGGAAGTTTTTCTCAAGTCATTTATGCTCTGGAGAACTAAAAGCCCATATCTCAAATCCTATTGACAACCAGCCATTATTTCTGTTTTTTGATTCAGTTCACAATTTGAAAAATATTTACAACAACTTTTTAAACAGAAAAACTTTTGATTTGCCATCTTTCAATAGAAACTTTATTAAACTATCTGAAGGTACTGCACGGTTTTCAGATATAGAAGATTTGTACAAACATGAGTTAAATATGCTAGTGAAGAAAGCTCACAAGTTGAATGCTACAATATTTAATCCAACAAATATTGAGAGGGTTTCTGTCAAGTTGGCTGCTTCAATATTTTGTCAATCAACATGTGATGCTTTTGACTATTATATAAATCATGAAGGCAGATATGAATGGAAGACGACAGGTGAATTTGTTAAGTTGGTCAAGAAACTTTGGGATATAATGAATGTTAAAACGTCATCCAAAGGCAAGGCGAAAATCAACAGTGATATGGATCCTGTGAAGTCTTCCAATGATTGGAAAATTCACTTCCTGTTAGAATTTAAAGATTTTTTGTCAGAATGGGAAATGATGAAAGCAAATAAATTAAGCAGAGAAACATTCATTGCTATGAAACAAACTTGTTCTGCTTATGCTGAATGCAGCAAGTATTTGTTAGATAGCATCGGTTTTAATTATGTCCAGCTTGGATATCTACAGTCGGATCCAATTGAAACTAGGTTTGGGTGGTTGCGGCAGATGTCAGGAGGAAACTATTTTGTTTCTGTAAGACAAATTATTGAAAATGATAAAAGATCAAAATGGTGTCATTGTTACACCACTCAAAGTTGTCAATCAAAGAAATTGATGATTTCATTGATGATGTGGGCATCGTTGAAGATACTAGTATATTTGAAGCAGCTAATGAAATCGTCCAACAACTTCAATCCACAGCCTCATTTGCCTTCAGCGATCCAGCAGATGGTGAAGCATGCACAATATATTACATGTCAGGAGCAGTCGCTCACAGTGTGCTTCATACTACACGATGTGATGACTGCAAGGAAATATTAGTTGATGATGAATCCATCTGTGTAGATGTCCACCATTTAAAAGAGCAAGTATTTTTCAATGATGTAAACAGGGGAGCGCTAATAAAACCATCGGAATACCTATTCATGACATGCATAGACTGTTGGAAGATATTTGCAGGAATGAAACAGTCTGAGGCCATCATGAAAAATGTTCTCACTTCATCCAACCAGAAGAGTCTTTTTTGCAAAATTGTTGATATGCTTGTCATTGAGGATGCTATTATCATTGATAATAATTACTGTGTTAAAAGTCATGATGTAAAACGTATGATTGCTGAACGGTTTTTTAATTGCTTGACAAAAAACTTTGTTAAAAGTGTAAATGAAAATATTAACGGTTCATCTCTTAGTAAGAAAAGAAAGTTAACTAAATTAAATTGAAATTTGTTTTTAACAGTTTTCTATTTGTTCATTTGTTTCCTAGTTTTATATAAACATGAATTATGTTATATGTACATTTCAATGATATCTTTTAAATAAATGAATAAATTTATATGTATATGTATATATTTTTAATTGTATTTGATGCATAAATAAACAACTATTAAACAAACACGATTTTCGTCTTGTTATTACATTGCAAACACCTCAATCAATGGCCTAATAAGGTCAACGCGCAAATATCACCTTGGTTTCCAGTAGTACTATCGAGAATTCCATGCGTAAGGCCCTCTGAAGCCATTCATATTTATCCATTATTTGTGTGTGTATTTGTAATTGTGTGTGTGTCTGTATGTGTGTGTGTGTGAATTTGTGTGTGTGTTTGTCTGA